TCTTCAGGAATCTCACAGAATGATTTTACTCTAAATGACTGAAGACTGTGCTTACACTCCCTCAACCCCAAGTCTCAGATGTATTCCTCACTTTGAGTTCCTTCTCAATCCTGGACACTATAGGGGAAGGGAGGCAGAGAAACATACGAGAGGAGCAGAAGGAGATCAGTGGCACTAGTTAACAGGCATTGACAGTTATACACAGGGAGGAGCGGCCAAAACCCACCAGAAACCTGTGTCCTAGATCAATTACTTTTGGAAAACCAGCCCAAGAGCAACCTAGTCATTCTGGCAACCACCTCAGAATACTAGTTCTTGCCTTCTCCACCCAGAAAGTACACCCCAGTGACTCTCACCTGTGGGCTCAGTCCCACCTGTCCCAATGCCAGACCTATGTAAGATAGGAGCACATTAAAGCCTTGTCTCCCAAAGAGTGACTGCAGTGAGTCTCCTGGAGAAATAATGTAGCCATGATTTTGGTGGTAGACTTCTGTAGACTTGGTATCCGGTTAGAGTTTCAGATTTTCCTTTGATTATGCAAACCTTACAAGGACAAATTACTTATTTCCTGTCAGTTTTTCCTCCTCGACACCCCATGACCTTTATCCCCTAGCCCATACAAGGCAATGTGGGCATAGTGGGAAAGACATGCTTCTCATGGTTCTAAAGACTCAGTGATGTTCTCTGGCTGCCAATAGTCATTCACTCATTCACAGAGTCAACAATCATTTATTGCCTGCCAAGCTCTGGAAATATGAGGGGGGACAACTCAGGTAGTTTCCTGCTCTTCTAGAGATCACTCATAATTGGCATACTCATTACTTATGGACGGGTTTCACCTTGGCACTAAGACAGCGGAACAGGTAGTTCATCCCTCAGCAGAGTTCCCCAGAGAGCATCTTCTGTTCTCTGATGTATGTCATGGATCACCGTCCTCCAGACAACGATCCACTCTCACACAGCCTTGGGCTTCCCCACTCCTCACACCCCAACCCATCTCCCTATCAGGACAAGCCTCTTACTGATAGCCTCTTCTCAATCCCCCAAACTCCCAGCTCCTGAAGCTCTCACCTGTGCTTCCTCCCAGTCCCCTGACCTGGGCCTTGTTATTGTCCAGAAGTGCTTCTCCTCTAAGACCTTAATCACCAAATCTCCCAAACTTTCCCATCTCCGTCCTTCCTTAATGACATCCCTTTTCCCATGGCTCATTTCTCTTTTCACTTTTCCTCAGCCCATCTCCTGGCCTCCTCATGTCTCGCAGGCCCCTTAGCTTGCTCTCCGGGCCTGCACCCAAGCTTGATCACCACCCAGCTTTCCTTAAGAGCCTCCAAGTCCAGATCTGTGAGGTCCACATCTCATCCTGACCCTGTGACTGCAGCTGGAGAGGGCATCATGGCCAGGTTTATGGTGCCCCTCATACAGTGGGTTTCCAGCCCCCTGCTGAAAACAGTCACACTGATTGCCCTTACCTGTGTCCCCTTCTTCTCCATGACAGTTTCACCTTTCACCACTCTTCAGAGGCCCCTGTCCAATCTGGCCTCTCTGGCTCCCCAGTAGCAATGTATCCCCCATGACACCCCCAGACACTGTGCGCATGACATCCAGTCCCCTACTTGCCACCTGTGGTTGCTAGCATTTACCTGTATTCTGTCAAATTTTTCCCTTGTAGAAATCTGAGAATTACCTGAAACCACTAATTACCCTCATGTTCATATCCAAAGAGCAAAGTCTTCTTATGGATTCTACCATTAAATAGGTCTGGCAGCCCTCACCCCTAACCCGACAGCCCTCACTGGCTCCCCCCGGACATGGTTTCTTCTCCAGCTTCCCTGGGGCCAGACTTCAAGCTCCCCTTGAAGCTGCAGTTGGAACTCGAGCTCCCTGTGGTCACATCCCGCTGTGGCTCCCTATGCCTTTGGGGTAATGCTCTCTCCCTTCCTCGCTTCACACTCCTGACTTCGGTGGTAAAATATCATATTGGTGAGAAAGCTTTTGTCTTTATTTTTTCTTCCTTTTCTTTCATCCAGTCTTCCCATGGGTGGGAGACATAAATCTGAACCAGGAGGTTGGATCTCCCTGCTGCTTGGTGGGCCAAGGGCCACAGGGAGTCCTTTCTCCTCCAAGTGCAAACTCAGTAGGGTGAGACTAACTCCTATAGCTGAACGTAAATGCACAGGATCTGGGATCCTAGTCACAATCTAACCATGATTCATCAACAGGAAAGCTGGTGTTTTGAGCCTTTTCTGCATTCTGAGTCTGTTACTGCATCATTTCAGAATACAGAGAGTGAAAGTATAAGGAATTAGTCTTTAAAACCCATTTGTAATAGACCTTCCACTATGTGTACCTTTATTTAGTTAGTTAGTTAGTTAAAGTTAGCCACCATACAGTACATCATTAGTTTTTAATGTAGTGTTCAATGATTCATTAATTAGGTAAAACACCCAGTGTTCACTATAACACCTCAAAACATCATGCAATCCTTAATACCCATCACCCTATTACTCCCCCCACCCTCTTCCACTCTGAAACCCTCAGTTTGTTTCCCAGGGCCCATAGTCCCTCATGGTCTGTCTACCTCTCTGATTTCTCCCGCTTCGGATTTCCCTCCCTTCCCCCATGGTCCTCTGTGCTATTGCTTATGTCCCACATATGAGTGAAACTATATGAAAATTGTCTTTCTTTTCTTGACTTATTTCACTTCACATAATCCCCTCCAGTTCCATCCATTTTGATGGAAATGGTGGCTATTCATCCTTTCTGAGGTTGAGTAATATTCCATTGTCTACATGGACCACATATTTTTTATCCATTTATCTGCTGAAGGGCATCTCAGCTCCTTCCACACTTTGGCTATTGTAGACATTGCTGCTATGAACATTGAGGTGTGTGTGCCCCTTTTTTCCCACTACCTCTGTATCCTTGAAATAAATATGTTGCCTGACTTCAAGCTATATTACAAAGCTGTGGTCACCAAGACAGCATGGTATTGGCACAAAAACAGACACATAGACCAATGAAACAGAATAAAGACTCCAGAAATGGACCCTCGACTCTGTGGTCAACTAATCTTTGACAAATCAGGAAAAAATATCCGATGGAAAAAAGACAAGTCTCTTCAATAAGTGGTGCTGGGAAAAATAAACAGCCACATATAGAAGAATGAGACTGGACCATTCCCTTACACCACACACAAACATAAATTCAAAATGGATGAAAGACCTCAATGTAATAAGGAATCCATCAAAATCCTAGAGGAGAACATAGGCACTAACCTCTTCAACATCCACCAGAGCAACTTCTTTCAAGAAACATCCCTAAAGGCAAGGTAAACAAAAGTGAAACTGAACTTTTGGGACTTCATCAAGATAGAAAGCTTCTGCACAACAAAGGAAATAGTCAACAAAACAAAGAGGCAATCCACAGAATGGGAGAAGATATTTGCAAATGACACTTCAGATAAAGGGCTGATATCAAAGATCTATAAAGAACTTCTCAAACTCAACACCCAAAAAACAAATAACCCCAGTCAAAAAATGAACCGAAGACATGAACAGACACTTCTCCAAAGAAGACACAAATGGCTAACGGACACATGAAAAAGCGTTCAAATCATTAGCCATCAGGGAAATACAAATCAAAACGACAATGAGATACCACCTTACACCTGTTAGAATGGCTAAAATTAACAAGACAGAAAACAACAAATGATAGTGAGGATGTGGAGAAAGGGAACCCCTCTTACCCTGTCAGTGGGAATGCAAGCTAGTACAGTAACCCTCGAAAATAGTGGTTCCTCAAGATGTTAAAAATAGAGCTACCCTATGACCCAGCAATTGCACTACTAGGTATGTGTACTTTAAGACACTGGTATCCCTGACACCTGACCACCAAGCAGGCTGAGACCCAGCCCATCCAGACCAGCCTTCATCTCTGAGATGGATGACACCATTTTATTCATCTCCATCCTCAGAGCAAAGCCTTTCCTGCTCCAAATCCCCAGGCCACTCACCCTTCACTTCCCGCTCAAATGTCATCACTTCTGTAAAGTCCCTGATTAACCCCAAGTAGAAGTAACAATTTCCTCCACTGTGTTCCCAAAGTGTCATATATTTTCCTCTCTCACAGCTGCCCCCACACGCTGACACAGCCATGGGACCATGTCCCATGGAGCGCCAACTCCTCCATTCATGGGTGTGTTCCCTGCACCCCTCACATTCCCCTAGCACTCAGGCTGCTCCGAACTCTTTCCTGAAAACAATAATAAGTAGGTGAAGAAAGACAGGACTAAACAGAGAGGTCTGTAATGAACCAATCTTCATGCAGAGTGACCTGAATATTACAGAGAAGTGAAAATGTGTAGTAGTGGAAGGAAAACTACCTGTGGGGAGCGCAGGAGCATTGTCAGTGGATATAATTGAGTATTCCCAGAGTCTAGTGCTGAATAGCTCTTGAAACACAGTGGTGCTTAATAAGTAGGTGGGAGGGGTTTGGAGGGCTGGGAAAACTGGGGGTCTTACTGCTCAACCATTGTCCATCAGATACTGGTCCTAAGAATGACTTGATTTCATTACCACAGGGACCTCTTTCCACTTAGCTTCCAAAGATGGGCATAAACCAGGACAAGGACAGGAGAAGAGCAGATCCATGGGCTAAGCCCTCTGCTTTGTGCTAGAAAAGCTGGCTTGAAGGAAAATCCAGCCCTAGATGCAGAGATTGATACCTTGACTCTGGATTATGGTGCCTCCAAGGGCAAGCTAGATGTATTCTACAGTCTCTGGCTTTTCTCTTGTCCAGAGGTGGATGGAGCTGGGATATAGCAGAACCCAGGCAGAACAGCTTGGGGTTTTTTGTAGTTTCCTTTCTTTTTCTGTGTTTTTCTGTCATTTCTGGCCACCTCCCTTCCTCTGGGGATATGCTGAACTCAGCAAGTCCAGGTCCACCAGCTCTGCCCCCTGTGCCCATTGGCTTCCGGTCATCTGGTCATCTGATAAGGCTTCTGATAATGCTTCTGGTGCAGACAGGACCTGCCCTGCTCTGTCCTGCTGGCACACTTGGTGGCCAAAGCTGACTATTGCTGCTCCTGGGCCTCCTCCCAGCCTCAGACTTCAGCTCAGCATCTCCAGCAGCGTGGCTCATGGCCCTGTTCTTCTCCTTGATCCTTGGTGAGTACCTCTGTCCCTGCTGGCTGAGACTTCAAAGTCTCCCCAGAGCTCTGATCAGGAGTGTGCTCTCCCTGCCCAGTTGGTACAGATCCTGCTACCTTTCCAGGAGAGGATTCACCTGCTCTCCTGCCTTCTCTGTGTCTGGTTAAGTTCCAAACTCAAGCCACTTAATCCATACCTGATTTATAATCCACTTTGATCACCAAAGCTTTTTCTGTTTCCCTGTATTTGCACCAACAAATTTATAATAGTTTATCCCATTTCCCTTTTTACAAAAATTTCCGTAATCCTTTTCTTTATAAGAAGACAACTGAACCATGGGTAACAGCAGGTAGAGCAAGAAGAGGAAGAGAACTGCCAGACAGACACCTTCACAGGTTATACTGTCCAGTTTCCCCTCAAAGGTGTTCCATATAACGTTTCTCTAGTGTTCCCCAGTTTCTTATCACCCAGATTAAGGTATTGTAAATGGGGATTTTGGAGTCAAAGGGACCTGAGTTTCAATCCTCGTTCTTAAATTTCTTAGCTGTCTGAATTGTTAAATTACCCTCTCTCTCTCTGGTATCCTACCTTCGTCTGTGAAGTGAAGTTAATAGCATGTTCTTTGGAGGTTTGTTAGGAGACTTTTCATGAGATAATGAACTTGAGGCATCTAACAATCCTACAAGGTCTCTTCCCTAATCAGTCACATCCATTTTATTGTCTTGATGATCCCATGCATCACCAAGGCTCACACTGGCATTTATGTGCTCTCTGTAGGGTGCTGCCAAGTTCCCAAACACCAGTACATTCCCTGTTATCACCTGACAGCTAGTTCTACCAGGTCAGGAGCATCCTATCACCTCTCCCCACTTTCCTTCAGCCCCATCTCCTTCACGAAGCCTCTCTGGCCTGGCTACCCATCATCACCCTGCCCCAGAATTTTCAAGTTCCCTTGGGCTCTATCACTTTCAGACCCGCATACCAGGCATGACACATTTGGTTTCCATTGTGTATATTCAGGTTTTGTGCTCCTTACTAGATGTGTGGGGTGCAATATAATCTTGAGTTTTAGATGGTTACAGACAAGGTCATACTGAGTCTGAGAGAGGTCACGTCCTGAAGATTAAGGGCTTAGAGTTACTTAGAAATTATTGGGAAATGAAGAAAATATTCCAGAATAAAAAACTGAAATTTTTGCATCTGCCTGAAAGGCTCTAGACCAAAGATATTAGCTCCTTCAGAAACATTTCATAAGGTGCTGGGGGGTGAGGAGCACGACTGTTCTGCAATTCAGAATGCCTAGGACCTTGGGGACCACTGATGGGCACAGGGCTCAGGACTCTCGGTGGCTGAGAAGGGAGCCTAATGCATAGAGGAGCCTGATTGCCCAGGGGTCGTATAGGGAGAAATTATGATGTCCTTATGATGTGCTGATGCCTAAACTTTTGAGTTTGGAACCAAATTTAGAGCTGCTTTCTGACCTGTTGAACCCACAAGCTAACAATGGTTTTCATGTTTTTAAACAATGGGGAAAATCAAAAGAAGAATACTGTTTTGTGAAAGGGAAATTGAAATTTCAGTGTGTATAAACAAAGGTTTATTGTAGCGTGGCCATGCTTATTCGTACACATGTACACACGTGGTTGCTCTCATGCTGCCGTGACAGAGCCGTTGGGTAGCAATAGACCAGGTAGCTACAAAGCCCAAATTGTTTGTGATCTGGCCCTTTACAGGAAAAGTGTGCTGGCAGTGGCCTGAGCACAGTGCCAGTAACACAGACAAAACCTTCGGTTTTCCTGCTTTTCGCTGCCCCCATAGCGTCGCTGTCTTCTTCATGAGAGCCTTCCCAGTGGCCTCCAGCATGACTTGCTGGGGAGCCCAGAGGCTGCACACCACCTGTCCACTCCAGGCAGTAATCAGTTAACATAATTGACTAGAATAGAAAGTGAATCTATCCGTGCCTGGGGCAGAGCTACATCACATGTACAGAGAATAGGTTGGGCTTTGGTAGAATTGGTCTCTGTGGTTCCCAGTCAGTGTCCCTGTGTCCTCTGGGGCTGGTCATTGCAGGAGGTTTTTCTAGGACTGACTTTGGAAGCTCTGTACCCAGTACTCTAGCTGCCCCACAAAGTCTACCAAAGACTTTCTAGAGAGTTGTGTTATTTGAACAAAGCCTTGGGATTAATTATATGATCTCACTCGCTTCCTTCTTCTCTCCTCAGCCATTTGCACCGGACCTGGTCTCTTAGGTAAGACTTTTTGGGTTCCTGAGAGGGAGGCCTCCAAGTTCTTGAGATGGAAATCTTGATGCTTACTCAGGACATGGGTAGAGGTTCTAGTTCCTCTCTGGTATCTCAATCCATCCACTCTGTGGATGGGTTTCCACCTCTTGAAACTGGAAGGGATTTGGGTGGTGTTTCCTGCAAGGGGATTCCCTCCCACTTGGACTCTGTGACCTAAAACTCTTGGCCACCTCCAAGTAACAGATGGTTTTGTTTGGGGACTCAGAAGTTACCTCTCACTTGCTGGTGTATCTGGGAGAGGAAATTCCTTTTGCCCTGCTTGGCTCTACCACTTCCAGGTCCCTATGCCAACCTGCATGGCTCCTTTGAACTAGAAATGCATTTACTTGTGTGCAGCGTGTGGTTTGCCCAGCAGCAGGCAGGCTAGATTTCAGCCTCCACTGGCCACCTGAGTTAAGGGGTCCTTGGAGCATGCATAAGCTGCACAGAGAATGGGTCTGTGGAGAGGAAAGCTGTGATCTCCAGACTCAAGGTGGTTGGTCGTGGACCATCAGCCTCTTATACATTATTCCATTGGTCTTTTTCTCTTGATGGTAGAGGCTTTACCAGAGAGAGAGACAGCCATAGACTCTGCAGTGGACATGGGGGACCCCACACCAGCAGGATGTAATTCAGTTCTTTCAACATTGCTGGCTTGGGTTCTCAGTGCATCAATCAGATTTCATGGTCTTTTTCCCGTGGCGTCCAGGGCTGTCCTAACTGTCGGTACAGGGACCACAGCTCTACAGCTTTCCCACAGCCCAGGTCACTGCTTCTCTACCCCCAGCCCTGCTCTCGAGCTGTCAGCCAACAAAGTGGGCTGAAGACACTGCCCAGGAGGCAGCTGTCCCAATGACCCCTCTGCCCTTCTCTCTGGATTTCAAATCTCTTCTCAGCTGGGTTTCTTTGACACTTAGGCTGTTTCTTTCTTATATGTTTCTCCTTTCTAAGGATGTCTTCTAATCCTACTTTCCCTGGAAAATAAAACTCATTTAAAGCCAGAATTTTACAATTCAAAACCAGATAACATGTGCATCATCATGATAGCTAGAGTTTCCTGGGGTACAACACAATAATGCCTGTCTAAACTCAAATCTTGCAATGACCCAAATGCTATTTCTGGATGATTCTTCTTGAGTTATATTTGTACCCTATAAATGTAGGTGTGCAAAAATGAAAACTTTTCTTAGTTTTCTGTAGTTAAAATTTAAAATCTATTTCTAGTTTCCATTCCTCTCATTGCTTCCCTCAGAAAATACACGGAAGAAAAGGAGACACAAACAGATGAACGACCCAAATGTCAACTTCCAATGCACTCTAAAATCAACCAAGGTCTTCTCACTCAGAAGCTTCTTCTGGGGTGGATTCCAGGTTTAGGGCGTTTGTGCAGAGCTGAGGCAGGATAGATGGTGGAAGATCTGGTGCTCCAAATTCATGTCCCATTTGTGCAGGTGCCTGCGTCACCTACATGTCCTACGTGGTCATAGGTGACACCGCTCAAAATAGGGTAGGCTACAGACCAGCAGTCGCATGTGGCCCCACCATGTACCCCAGACCTGTCTATGTCAACTACCCCACTGCATGGAGGCATGGACCATTCAGCTCCTCTGTAACATGCTGTCACCCAGGGACTACTGGAGTCCTTGTGGGTTTGCTCCCAGACCTCTTAAATATAATGTCCTGGAGGGAAGCACTGCTCTGAGTTCATAAACCAATACCTGGAATATAGTATATATATGCTCAACAAGTGTGTTGCCTGCTAGGCTCTTTTCTGCTCTCCCACAGACCTCTCCACTCTATGTCCATCTCTTGGTGGAAGAAGGAAAAAGATTTCCATTAGCCTTTCCACCCTCAGAGTTATGGTTGGGAAGCAGAATCATGTCCTGGATTCCTCAGAACTTATCTGGAGGCTCTGGAGAGACTGTCTTCTACCCTAAGCCCTAGAACCCTCTAGACTAAGAATCTGACTGGTCAAGGCTCTGACCTTTCCTTCACCCACTGCTCTCTGCATTCCTCTGAGCTGGGTTCTTGGGCATGGGAAGATGTCATGAGAAGCAGCAAGGATGGGTAACGGGGGATCATGGATATTGGGAGAGAAAGAGAGTGAGGTTGTTCAGCCCAAATTATATCTAGAGAGCCTGCCTCAGTCTGGCTGCCATGGGGAGAGACAGAGTCAAGAAAAGACAACACAACAGACCACATCTCTACACTCGTGTTCTGACCCAGGGCTCCCACTGCTTAGCGGTGTGAGCATATATACCTAGGTGTCTTGAAGCAGAGTTTCTCGGCAGGGTAAGTTAGGAGTGGAGCAGAATCAGAACTTAGGGATGGGGTCCTGAAGATCCTCTCCCTCCACTTCCCTTTCAAGCCCTCCTTTCTCAGCCCCCAGCATCCCACACCCTCTGGGAGTGGTGGAAGTGTTCTGAGATGCCTGAGTCCTCTCTCATCCTCCAGATGCCCAGCCAAGCTCTCATCCCTTTGGAGGGTCTTTGTCCAGAGTGCGGCTCGTGGGAGGTGACCACCGCTGTGAAGGGCGGGTGGAGGTACAGCGGGCCGACGAGTGGGGCACGGTGTGTGATGACGGCTGGGACGAGAACGACGCAGCTGTGGTGTGCCGGGAGCTGGGTTGTGGAGCGGTCAGGAAGGCAATCAGCGGTACTGCATATGGGCCACTGACACAAGAAGATCAAAAAATCTTCGTCCAAGAATTCAAATGCAATGGCATGGAAGAGAGCCTGTCTCAGTGTGAAAGGGAAGATTTTTTTGACTGCAGCCACAAGGAGGACGCAGGAGCTGTATGTGGGCGTGAGTACTGTAGCCCCGCACCCTGTTCCACCCAACCCGTGGGCCATGCTCGCCTGTCTTAACCCCCTGTGGACTTCACAGGTGGCTAACTAGCTCCTCACCCTTCTCAACTGCGGGCCCTGCAGAGTCGATATTTTTCCCGCTCTTTGATTGAGGTAATGAATTCAGCTTAGTTTCAACTACATGAGAGCCTGCTTCTCTCCTTCACACACACACACACACACACACACACACACACACACACAGAGGCACACCCAGACCCATCCACCACTAAGTGTTTGTTAAAGAGTGTAGCCTGTGTCGTGAGCTCAGGGGAATTTGTGGGGAAGAAAAGAGCTGGCAACGTATGATATATGTTTCCTGGGTTTCACTCCTAAGAAAACCAAGGACAGTGCACGCTTTTCCAGCTCCCAAAGATTCCACCAACGAAAGAGCAGGCAAGAGAAGCTTTTAGGAAACCAACACAACACTTTGCCTTCTGTGCATTAATAATCGCTTCTCTGCATGCACTTCCCATTAGACTGTGATTTGCCTGAGGAGCTGGTCCCTGTTTTCTCTTTGTCACCAAGCAGACTGTTACCAGGGAGACGGCCAACAAATCTTTGGGCCTGATGCTGAGATCTCATTCCTACCTGTTAGAGAGATTGAAGGTTGGGGGCACTAATCCACAATACTCGGGTGATAATGATGAAAATGAACCAGGACATTTTGGGGCTCGGACACATTGTGTCTGTCACTATTGCATTTTATTGTTTAAAAATCTATGCAATCCATCTATGTGCCCCTTATGAGGAACAAATGAGAATACAAATGTGAAAATAATTTGAAAAACTAAAAATGTTACAGAAATAATTAATTCACTTGGAACTGAAAAATGACATTCATTCTGTCGATCCACTCATCCAACCCTTCCAACAAGCATCTGCTGGACAATGCCAAGCGCTCTAGAACATTGGACTAGACACCGAGAGCAGAGGGGTGTGCCCATGGGGCTCTATTCTGGGAAGACCGTGTTCTTGCTTGAACAGACACCCCCCCTTTCCTTTCCCACAGTCCCAGAGGACGTGCGGCTGGTTGACGGCCCCAAGCACTGCCAGGGCCGGGTAGAGGTGAAGCACGAAGGGCAGTGGGGCACCGTGTGCAAAGCAAGCTGGAGCTTTGCAGCCACCAAGGTCGTGTGCCGGCAGCTGGGATGTGGACGGGCCATGCTGACCCGGAAATGCTGCAACAAAGCCACCCAGGGCCAAGGGCCCATCTGGCTGAGAAAAGCGTCATGTTCGGGAAAAGAAAGCAGCCTTGAGGAGTGCCCTGCTGGGGTCTGGGAGAGGAGCAACTGCACCCACAATGACGACATGTGGGTGGAATGTGAAGGTAAAGCCCACAAGGTTGGACACTAGATTCATTCAAATCCAGTTTGGCCACACTGGATTCCGTCCAACCGGCATCCACAGAGAGCTAGCCACACGCTAGCCACGCGTCAAGAGACAGGGACAGACTCGCTTAGTTGTGCTGCACGCCAATTCTCATCTATGCTTTTATTTTTAAGATTTTAATTTATTTATTTGAGAGAGAGAGAGAGAGAGAGAGAGAGAGAGCGCGCACCCGTGGGAGGAGGGGGAGATAGTCCCAAGGAGGCTCCTCTCCGAGTGTGGAGTCTGATGAAATCAAGAGTTGGGCACTTGACCGACTGAGCCACCCAGGCGCCCGCTGGGGCTTTTACAAACACTGACACGAACGCCTCCCTTCGTGCAGGAACGTGGTTTCGGCAGAAGTAAGCCCAGAGTATTGTGGACTATTAGCACACGGAACTCACGTACCAGGGATGGGGCACGTCCTCCATTGTTGAGCTCTCTGATTTTAAAAGCGATCAGAAAGTCATTATTAATATTAGAGTTTTATGAATTAGACAGAGAAGTGGAAAATCCTGGTTAAGGAAGGGACTTGGGACACTGGGTCAGGCCAGGAGAAGCGGACATAGGCACGGGAGCTGGGCGGAGGGTCTCACGTGCCGGTGGGATCTGAATGTAGAGCAGTTCCTCTGTCTGTCCCCCTGCTTGCCTCCACCTTTCCTCCCTCCTGTACCTGCAGATCCCTTTGAGCTGCAGCTGGTAGGAGGAGACAGCCACTGTGCCGGGAGGCTGGAGGTGCTGCACAAGGGCCAGTGGGGCACCGTCTGTGACGATGGCTGGGGAGAAACAGCAGACCAAGTGGTATGCAGGCAGCTGGGCTGTGGGCCGTCCCTCTCTCCACCTACTAAATTCCGGAGAAGATTTGGCCCCGGGGCCGGCCGCATCTGGCTGGACGATGTGGCTTGCTCAGGGAAGGAGAGGTCCCTGGAGGAGTGTCCACACAGGTTTTGGGGCCGACACAATTGCAACCATGCAGAGGACGTGGCTGTGGTCTGTGCAGGTAAGTCCTGGAGCAGAGTTCATGGGGACGTCATGGGCGAAGGGGAGGGATGGCGGCTCCCGCCGCGGTGCTCACCTGCTCTACACGTACTTGAGGGGATACTAGTGAGGCATTTCAGCAATAAATAGAAATAAGGATGAAACAAATAATGAGTCCCATATCACAGACTTACTGATGTGAGGGCAAGAGAGATTTTAGAAACTACACCCTTATATGAAAACATGAACAAAAGTGAGAATTAGAGAAAATAAACAATTTTCCAAAATCATAAAAAATTGCTTTGAAATGATAGAACATAACTAAAGTGACCAGTCCTGACTCTGAACTCAGGGGTTGTTCATCCGGAAGACCCCAACCCTCACATCCAGAGTTTAAACCACGGGAGACGGTCCCGCCTCATTCTACCTGACATCTCTCCGCCGATTTTACGTGAACCTGTGGGACTGGGGCTGGGGTGGAGGGGCTCTTTGGAAATGCCCAGGAGACAGTCTTTCCGGACAGTGGGGGGACTGTAGGGCTCTTCAAGGGACGGGAGGAGGAAGCCCTGCCCCAACCTGAACCAGGAAATGCAAGCTCAGTCCCTGGGGGCTGAAGCCCAGCTCGGCGATCGGGGTGGGAATGCAGGGCTGCGTGGTTTAAGCACCCTGCTGCGGAGTCCGGTGAGGGCAGAGGCTGACCAAGGGCCGGATGAACAGCTAGTGCCCAGGAGAGGAGGGGTTGAGTCCTGGAAGGCTGCAGGTTGAGTGCTGATGCTGCCATTCTGAGGCTCTGTTAACTTAGACAGTCACTTAACTACTCAGGACCCCATTGTTTTCATCTGTAAAATGGGAAGACCCTGGTGCCATTGACCGTGAAGAGTTCCGTGATCATGTGAGGGCGAGACGTGTTCACATGTGGGAACACTGTGGCCGCTGGCTGAGTGAGCCCTGGGGAGGCTGTACCCGACTCCACCTTGGTCCACATCCGTGCAGGACGTGTGTATGATTAGGGTCTGGGAGGGCTTCTCTTTCCTGTTCTGGGCCCAATATTCTTTCCTAGCCTCATTGAGCTTGAATGAGATCATCCTTTCTGACGTGTCCCATCCTTACTGTACATCCTTTTCTCTTTGCAGAATAGTAGCCTGGCCTGCCTGATGGTCGACCAGAAGCCCACAGGTCCTAAGTGTCCCCTACTTCTCATGGACCCTGATTGGTCTGGCCTGAGCCCCGGGCCGCAGGCTGTACCTGCCTCCCTCTTTGCCCCCAGCAAGCACCTGAGCCCTGTGCCCTGCCGTGCTCTAGAGCCAAGCACTCCCATCACCGCCTGGAGACAGGAGCTGTTGAATGCCCTCTGCCGGGAAGACAAGCTCACGGTCCCCCTCTCCTCGCTGTGGACCCTCCACACTGGCTCTGGCCTGTGCTGCCTCTTCTCACCCCGCCTGGGATCCCCAGCCCTGTGCTCTGACCACTATGGGCCATCGCTGGGCGTCATCTGTGTCTGTAGAGAGCATGAGAGGAAGCAGACCACTACATGGAACTTGGGGAAAGCTTGGAGGCATTTCGCCCTCTTTCTCATGCTTCAGGTGATTGCAGCCACGGCTGGCACCTCACTGCCCTTCTGATTCTCGGTGACAGCACGTTCTTATGGGAGGAGGGCAGTGTCCTGTAATTCCGGATGCTGCCATGGTACCTGGAAGCCACGGCACGCCCCCTCCCAGTATCTGCAATAAAGCCCCTCTGGGGACCGTCTGCCACAGCCATCAGGGTTGCTCTTTACCAAGGAGAATCGCGCAAGTGTTTTCTAACGGATCCAGGGAAATGTGTGTTGGCAGCGGGGCTGCCTCTGGAAGGAGGGGAGGCTGGGGGGGTGGGAGTTGGGCCCCCTGCCGATCAGATGATACCACTTTCACTGCACCAGCCGCCCTGGACACTGGCACTTGCACGCGTGAGGTAAGGCACAGTGGTGCCACGCTCAGGACTTGAGTCTACAGCGAGGCAGCCTTGGACTCAGGCGAAGCTGAGCCCCCGCTGCAGGCCTGCGTTTCTGCTCCCTAAAGAAGCAGACTCTGCCTCTGCGGCGGCTCCCGTGCTGTGTGCTTTCCCTGCCGCCAGGAAGCAGGTGTGTCAGCTCCTCCGAGACGGCCTCAGGGGCTCCACTGGGCAGAAGAGAACGTGCCTGCCGACAGGACCAGGCGTGTTACAGAGCCCTCTCCTCCTGGCTCTTCCCTGGCAGGGGAATTAGAGCCATCGGGCTCCCCAGTAGAGAAGACAAGGCCTTGGAAAACATTTTGGGATCTACCCTAGATACGCGAAGAGATTCCGCCCTTATCTGATCAGCTCTCTTTAACTGATGAGTTCCTCCTGATTTTCCCTACAGATGAGGGTCCTGTTCCCTTCACCCCATTGTAGCTGGAAACTGGAGGGCCACTGGCGGCCAGAACCGAGTGCCTAAAAAGCCATTTTATCCTCAGTAGAGTGGACAGGTTTGGAGTGTCACAAAGGGACTTCAAATCTCCCTCAGTTTCTGTATTAAAGTTTCATTTGCTTCCATTCCAATAAGTCCCCTGAGAACCAATCAGACAAAAGGAAGAGCCCTTGGGAGAGATGGAGAATCCATCCTGGAAGCAAGAGCTGACAGTAGTTTGAATAATGTCCCTGAAGGACAGCAAGCCGAGAAGCCGACCCCGGCCTGTTGTCAGGGCTGAGGGCATGTCAGCAGCGGGCTCAGAGGAACCCGGGCAGGCCAGCATGTGACCCTGGCTGCCAGCGCTCAGACACCGCTGCGTCCCCCCAGACACACCCCTTGTCTCCTCCAGGGGTCTCTTACCAGGAGGTATGCCAGCCCACACCCCCAGCCAGGCCCGGGCCAGTGGGGCGCTCACCTGGAGCTCTGCATTTGGGGGGGTACATCCTGGGTAGGATGGGGATTGTGAGCTGGTTTAAACCTTCTCCCGCAAGAGACCCTCCTGACACCCTTGCGAGGGTCCAGGTCCTTAGGCACCCCACGCTCCTGGGCCCACACCTGTGCAGTGTGCACCCATTCCTCTGGCCTGGGGCCGATGGGGCCCTTGTAGGCCTGTGGGGCTGAGGACTAGCCACAGCCTTCCGCAGATTCCTCAATACACAGACAGCCCCCACCCTGAAAACCCCCCGAGGAGCAGCGACACACTGGCCACAATCAGGGCCCACCTGGACTTGCTCTTTGGCAGGGTCTGGGGCCTCGCCAGCACACAGGGAGATCTGTCTTAGTAGAAGACGCTGTGGGCAACCCCCTCGTTCTGTCATCAGTGGAATACTGTCCCCTGGGTGGGCAGGTAGGGCTCGCAAGCCGCATGTGCCTTGTGACCCTGCTTGTCCTGCCCCTCGTCACAGCACACACGTCGTCCCGCAGCCTGGGGCAGCTGGGGCGCCATCCCCAGTAGAAGGGGACCAGCCCCTGAAGTCACCGTGAGGCAGCTAGAGTCGCCACCCTCAGCCCCCACTGGCACCTGCTGCCTTACGGTGCCCGGCTCCTCCAAGCGTCCAGGGCTCCCAGAGGTCTCTCCCATGTAGATGGGGTCATGAGGCCAGTTCTCAGAATGGACGTGACACCTTCGCATCAAGGCCATTGGCAGAGCTTGGCTCCTTCATGCTCTCTCTCCCCGTCCGCCGGCTCATCAGGGAAGACCCCAGCGACACAGGGGCAGGCGGGGCCCTCTGAATGATTGGCTGGTGGGCCCTCACCCAGTCTCTGCTGACTGAGAGACAGGGGAGACCTGTGTCAAGCCAGGGAGATGTTTGGAGGGCTTATTAAAAGCACACAGCTTACCCCAACTCACACAGACATAAACAGTTTTTTCAAAATCAGTCCCATTTCTTCAGAGCTCTCCGACCAGCGCCCGGATGCACTCTCTGCTTCCATGGGCGCCTCTGCTATCTCGTATTTGGTGCTGATCAGGGGTTGGGCCCCCTGGGCCACTCACAATTGTATTTTTAGTATGAAGGAATCATATTTTGTTTTTGACGGCCTCCTAAGCCTTGGTTTTTTAACCCAGCATGTCCGTTGTGGACATTGCTTGTGTGCGTTTTGGGACTTTTTTTTTTTTTTTTTTTTGAAGTGCAGTTTTAGGCTCCCAGCAAGCTAGAGAGGAAGATACAGAGAGTTCCCACACACCTGCTGCCTCCACATGTGCGCAGACCCCCCCCCCATTGTCAACATTCCTCACTGGGGAGTGTGTATGCTACAGTCAAATTTCTTTGACACATCATCACCCAAATTCCATAGTTTACACTGGAGTTCACTCTAGGTGTCGTTCTGTGGGTTTGGGCAAATTTATAAACATGTATCCAGCATGATAATGTCACACACAGTAAGTTTATTTCCCTAGAACTCGTCTAAAGTCCTCTGTGCTTGCCTGTTCCTTCCTCTCGCCCCCAAAGTCCTGACAACCGCCAATCCTTCTACGGTCTCTCACCCTTTCTCCTTTTCCAGAACGTCACGGAATTGGAGTCAACTGTATGTAGCCTTCACGGACTGGCTCCTTTCGCTCAGTGGTACGCGTTTGCGTTTCCTCCGTGTCTTTTCATGGCTTGAAGGCTCGTTTCTTTTCAGCACCAAGCGGTATCCCATTGCCTGGATGGGCCACAGTTTATTTGCCCACCAACCTCCGGAAGAACATCTCAGTTGCTTCCCAGTTTTGAAAACCATGAGTAAACTTGCTGTGAATATCCACGGGCAGACTTTTGTGTGGACGTGTTCTCAACTCTTTTGGGTAAAAACTAAGGAGCATTTTTAAACAACACCGTCCTGCCCTCCTGGCCACAGTTAGCTGGTACAGCGAGCAGGTATCTGTCCCAAGCCGGGTGGGCCAGCCCTTCCTGGGAGATGGGAACTGCGGCTGAGAGTAGCTGGACCTGTAGCAAGTTAGCCCAGGAGCTGCAGGTGGCCGTTTTCCACACCAGGAGGACCAGAGAATGAGAAGCAGTCCTTCCACAGAGACACGCTGGATGTCTGAAACACAGAGGAACAGAGTTGAGAGACGGGGAGAATCCAGACAGCATCTTCTGGTTCTAGTTCTTGTCTCTTTCTCTTTTGTGTCCAACTGCATTCTTAGTTTTCGGTTCTGGGACACATGATTGTATACTTTTAATATACATTTTATGTATATTAAATATATGTAAATATACATATACAGATATATATGCAAATTTTTTCTTCCAAATTTTTATTTAAATTCTAGTTAGCTGACATACAGGACAACGTTGGTTTCAGGAGTAGAACCCAGTGATTCATCACTTACATACAAGACCCAGTGCTTGTCATTAAGTCCCCTCCTTAATGCCCCTCCCCCATCTAGCCCAGCCCCCACCACCTCCCTCCATCATCCGTCAGTTTGTTCTCTGTCATTAGGACTCCCTTGTGGTTTTCTATGTGTATTATATATTTAAAATTCAGATTGAATTAGCTCACTGGTCTTGGTACTGCTAACCAAAATAACCCTAACCAAATTTCTGGTTTAAAATTAAGAGAGTGACAATTTATTCATTTTGTGTGAGGTTAGATAAGCCCGTTTATTATTTATGAATCAGTTCTCACTGCACTTACAGCATCAGGATATGGATCTGAAAAGACGAGGGCCAGGACCTATAGGAGAGTCTCCACTATGACATGTAGTTGGCTGCATATCCCTGAATTCTAGTCCTTAGTCCAGCTCGAGGTCACGGCCTCTCTTAAATCATCAGAAGCTGATGGCCCTCCAGCCATGTCCTGTCCAGGCTGCGCTCTCAGCCTCTTCCCAGGGACGTCTGAAGTTGATCTGCTCTTGACTGACTTGGCATACCCAAGCCACACCAATGTCCCTGGTGAGTGGGTGGATAGTCAGTGTGGACAAGGCACTGTGACAGCCTGGAAAGAAGCTTGGTCTTGCTAACTCTGGGAAGAGAGAGGCAAACATCGGTCTCTGAGTGACCCTTCTGTTGGACTCCCTCTCTGTGAGAAATTCCACAGGAATTTTGACCTGATGCATTTCATCGGTAGCAGTGACAAGACTTATCCACAGTGGTTATCCCAGAGACACAGGAGGGGAGCCCTGTCGTGTCAGAAAAGCAGGAGGGGAAACACTGGGGGGTGATCCTTGGTTATCTGAGGAGAGAGGGAAAGCCTGAAAGCACGAATGTAGAGGAAGGCTTTCTGGTGAAGTCATAAAAAGCATTGGTCCCTGTTTTCTTAGGACAGGAGGGTTGATGTCTGCTGAGGGCCAGCTAATCTGATAACAATTTTTAGTAGACATTTCCTCTCCCAAAAGTGTCCTGGTTTGGATGATAAAATTCTGTGTCCATTTTAGCACTGAGGGATGGTTAATACTTGAGAACTGTATTTGGCAAGACGGAGAGGTATGGAAAGTGGGATGTTGTTGCCCACAGAGCAACACTCTCTTCCCCAGAAAAGCAAACTCCCAAGGTCCCAGGGTCTGATTCCAACTCACTCTGCTGGGCGTTTCCCCACCACTTGTTCAGCAGGACCAGCCAGTAGCCTGCTCTGGGGGAAGACGACCTAGACCATGAGTTTTCTATAGGACGGGCCCACAGTGTGATCTGAATTCATGGCAACGCTCTGAAAATTGCAAGAATGTCCTCATCTCTGATCTGCTCCTGATATGGGACCCCAGACCCAGCACGTTCTGAGGAGATGCTGCCATTTCTGCTCTTCCCCGAACTCGGACTTTCCCTCTCAGTGTTTTTCTTCTACTCTGACATGGGGCATCACATCTTGTGGGAGCTTGACACAGGCAATGGCCCAGGCCAGTGTTGCCTGCCTTCTGGCTGTGGGCTGAGCGAGAAAGCCTCTTCCTCCTGGGCACCAGGGCTGCACCGCTCCATCCAGCAGACGTAAGAGGGGCCGCACACAGAATGTAGAATTTGCTAGTATGTAGAATTTGCTAATTTACTGGAAAAGAGTAAAAAGAAAAGGAAACAGGTGGAATTAATACTTTAATTTTAACATTTTTAAACCTATTACATATAAAGTGTTATCATTTAACATATAATTGATGTAAAATTATTAATGAGACACTTCAAGTTCTTTTGGTTTTTTTCTCAAGTTTTTAAAACGTAGCATGTGAACTGTGCTCACAGGGCCTCTCAGCTTGGACTAGCTCGGCTTCAAGTGCTCAGGGGCCACGTGTGGTCAGGGGCTGCTGTCTTGGCCAGCGGACACAATCAAGGGTAAGGTGAGGTCAGGGGGTCACACCAGCCCTAGTTCTCACCACCGGTAAAGCCTTGAAAATTGCCCAACATCTTTGAGTTGCAGATTCCTAATTTGTAAAATGAGTAAACTTTCTACCTCAAAATGCGCAGACTCAGTATGTCCCTGGATTTTTCATCTTCTGTGGGGTTAGTTGTGTCTTCCCTTACCGTCCCACGTGCCAGCCAGGGTGGAGGTCGCACAGCTGTGCTGCTGTACAGAAATGCTTTGTTTTAAAACAATTTTAAAATATTACTCTCCAGCATGTAGAAGTTAGTAGGTTTTACATAAAATCCCAAAATTCTGGCTTCGGGGAACAATCACATGGTCAAACAGCGTGTCCTTCGAACCTCACGGCAATGGCAGAACGCTGCCTCCAATGGGAGGTTCCTTCTCCAGCCCCTGGTCCCACTAGCCCTTCCCCCTCCTTGAAGAGCCCATGTTCTTAGTGCAGCGCACAGACCTTGCTGTGGCTTCTCCTCCTCCCTCCGTCCCTTTGGCCTCCTGTTGTCGGTACTTCCCATTTTGTTCCAAAAATCAAGCTCCAACTACCCCAGCTGTTTCATGACTTCAAGCCGCACACCCTCTTGGCTCAGCACAGGGCTTCCTCCCCCGCCTGCATGGCTGGCGGAGATCCCAGTCATCCCCGGAAATCACACCCTCTGCAGACCCTCCCCTTTCCCGACACCCGCTCTTGTCCTCGACCAGGACTGGCTCAGTCAGCACGATGTTCGCACTTCCCAGTGTTCGGTTTGCTCCTACATCTTTCTCGCCTGCCGCACTGTGAATTCTCAGCACTCAGGGAACATGCACTTCTCACCTCCAGATCCTCAGACTGTAATACGGTGCAGGGCATACGGTGCGGGGCAGACGCTGCCATCTTCCGGGAACAGGTAACACCCTTCTCTTTCTCGCCCAAGCACAGGACGAGGGGAAGGTAATGGGTGTCATGCAGAAGGAGGCAAACTTCAGATTTCGTACCAGTAAAAATTACTTTGGAGGAAGTGGCTTAGCTGTGTGACCTCCATGGGTTCTCATAAGTCAGCATTATACAAGGCAGGTTTACCATCCGGCCAGGGCGACTGGACAGCCCTGGGCCTGTACAGCAGCAACGGACCCTGGAATTGGAGGGTGAGTGATGACTGCATGGTGAGGCCTGTCTTCTCAAGGAGAAAACCCAGGTGGCACCAAGCCACTCTCGCTCCATTGCTTCTCCTAAATTTATCAAAGAAGTCTTTTCCCCTTGATAATTTTCTTCCTGAGACACGGAGAAGAGAATCTCTTCCGCTATGGGAACAGGAGGAGCACTGGATGTGTACCCCTAACCGTCCATGGCAGAGGCCCTGTAATCGCACGTAATGTTAACGTGAAGATGGGATCAAAGTGATAATGCGTGTGGCTGCCCGGCCACAAATCTGCGGAAACGTGCTCTCTTTTCCCGTGGCTCTTACTACACCAATGCCTCCCGGCTCCCAGCAAACGTTCACCTCTTGCCCAGGCTGACCGAGGGCTGCAGGTCAGTTGAGGTTCTGCTGGGCGCAGCCGGGCTGGGCTCCAGGCTGTGGGCAGGGTTCGAGTTCCCTCTGTCTTCTCACTTTGGAAAGTAGACCAAACGGGCAGCCCAGCCGAACCATGCCAGTGCCGTGAGCGTCTGATGGCGGGCGGCAGCACCTCGTACGCCCACCTCGCTGCCCGAAGCCCGTCGTGGAGCCGAGCCAGAGCCCGCGACTCAGGCACCTCCCCTCCCCACACAAAAGATACTAGAGTGAGTGGCTTGGTCACGAGAGAACATTTCTGACTCCCTTGCAGGAAGGGAGCCGAGAGCCGGAAGCAGTAATCCGATCTGTAAGTGACCGGAAACAGGTTTCTTCTCTGCGGGCCCCGCTGGCTGCACCCGTAATGCGTGGGATGAAGAGTCCTTCTTTCACGCCCGTAGCTGGGCACCGTAGCCTGGCCAAGCTGACCCAAAATTAACCACGCCAGCCTCCCCTACAGAAAGTGAGGCCCTGCTCGCTCAGTACAGCTGGTGAGCCCTGCGGATGCCCCCTCGGCCGCGAGCTCTGGCACCTCTGTGTCCTCCTCACGAGGTACAGATTTCCCAACAGAAGCACCAGATCCTCCTGCGAAAAGGCTTGTCCTGATTTTGGAACCCCGGTGACCCCCTCCGCGTCAGACTCACCCCCACAGACCCCACCAGCATCTCCGTGCGTGGGTTCACGGGCTTGCGTGGCATCAGACTGTCTCACAGTTTCCACACACGCCAGCCTTCTCAGTGTGCGCGCGTGTCAGGAGTGAACAGAGGTAAAAACGTGAGGGAGCTTATCGAATACTGTGCAGCCTTTAAACCAGAGCAGCAGGAGCGGAGAGGCCTTAACCCGAAAGAGCCGTGCAGGGGAGCACGGGAGCACAGACGGAGAGGGGAATGCAGGGTGTACCCACCAGAAGCCTCAGTCCTGAAGTTTAAACAGGGCAAACCCACCCGGGCAGACCTTCCTGAGCCCACTAGCAAAGCCCGGCGCACTGCCTCGTCTTTGGGAACCCCCTGGGGCTTCCAGTCAGTCGCCGGCACTGCTTCCTCCTCCTGCAGCTGGCTCAGCACTGGCCCTGTGGCCCCACGCGTCTCTTCTCGTGCCTTCTCTTGGAGCTCCACACCCGCACTTGAGTGTCACTACCGACCGAATGGCGTCTTGCTGTGTCCCCTATTTTTGCTCACATGCTTTGCTTCCGCACCTTATCGGGTTCTTAATCGTAGATCCTCAAAGACTCAGGAGGTGCTGGAACCTGAGACGGTTTATTCTTTCTGAGCACGGTCTGAATCACACCCAGGCTCCCCATGCCAAGCACCAGGAACCCAAGTGTGCTCCAGTCACCCGATGTGGGGGAGGGGAGGACCGCCATCACACATGCCAGGTGATCATGGCAAACTGTCCCCAACGCCCAGAAGCTAATTTGCATAAGCTTATTTCCTGTATTTCACTTACAAACATCCCCCCAGACCATAATTTCCTGTGATTCTGTTTTTCATCTGTTTCTGCTTCACTGACTGCTACGCCATGAAAGTCTAAATATGGGTGGGAGCCAGTACCTTACAAACAGCTTGACCCTGAGCCCATCACAGTCCGTCAGGTCCTGCCCGTAACCCCGGTGAGAGCCATCAGGCCCCGACTTGGCCATTCGTGCCCAGAGAGACAGCGTGCAGCTGTGGAGAAGCCAGAGCACGTGCAGAGCGGGCGCGGTGGGGGGGGACGGACCTCCCCACGGGGAAAGCACCCACTGCCCTAGGCAGGATTGCAGTCCAGGAGCGCTCATCCATGTCAGAAATCGCCTTTGGGAACCGTCCTTGGAGACAGCCCTGAGCTCTTGAGGAGGCCCTGATGTGCTAACGTGCGCTCTCGTCAAGCTGTGGACATAGAACAAAGCCACAAGAAGGAGTGTCCTTTGCTGTCTCAGGCCCCTGCGGAGAGCAGACAGAGGGTGGGCCCTGGGAGGGCTCTCACTCTTCTACTTCCCATCCCGACTTCCTCAACCCTCTGTCAAACTGGATTCCTCCTTCACGGAGAAAGCATCTCCAGGGACAGTCCCCAACCCGGTCCTCATGCTGCTGGGACTTGTGCTGCTGATGTGCGGTGAGTAGGACGTCCAGGCCGGACCTCCCAAGGTCTCCGGCTGCACCCACAGAGGCCAGGACCTCAGCCTCCAACCTGTGGCTCGGAGTCAGGCAGCAGGTGGGAAAGACTAGAAAGCCTGGCGTTTGAAGAAAACTATCAATTCACTTTTTATCTCATAGGAAGTGTTGAGTGTCTGTTCTTCCTTCCGATGTGAACTCTGTCTCTGTTCTCAATGTTGTGGGTAGCTGCAGGGGTGGTTCACACAACAAACTGGGCTCTTTGTTCCTTGTCCTCATGGTCATCATCCTTTCCTTTGTCTTCTGTCCTTGGACCCTCATCCCTACCTAGAATGGATCATCACCAACAACGCTTGCTTTCAAATCCCTGTTTCTGGCACCCCACCCCTACCCCACCCTAGGACCACAGGGCATTTGCAACTTTCCTTCTCAACCCCATGGATTGGAGTTTTCCACTGCCTGTTCCTGTCCTCCGCGCCCCCCACCTCTCAGCTCAGATGCTGGGGCTGGCCCAGCACTCCCCTGTCTACACCCTCCGTCAGCTTCTCCGTGTGCTTCACACCAGTTCCCAAGCAGCTACGTGTGACTTCACACAAAAGGCCCCATCCTGTTGACTCACATCCTTTAAATGCAGGGCACACATCTATGGTGGCCCCTGTAGGGCCGGAGACCCTCCCACACCTTACCACTCGGTGCCTCCCACTCGGGCCCTCAGACCACTATCTCCCACCTTCTCTGTCTCCTCAAACTCCTTCTTACTCTCGGTTTGTAATCCTGCTGCATGTCACTGAGGAAGTGAAAGCCATCAGAAGACAATGTCCTCACCTTTCTGAGGCTGTATTTGTGAACCTGCCAACCCCCGCCATTTGTCCCCGTTCAGGACAGCACCGTCCCTCCTCCCATGCAGGACAGGACTACCCCCGTATGCACTGGGTTCCCTAATGCTCTTGCTTTCTCAGAACCTTCCCTGTGCCATCACCACATTTCTTCATCCTGGGTTAGTCCTGTAAATACACAATCACGCCACCGTGTCTTTTCCCCTAAGACGATGGAAATGTGCCGTGACCGTGTTCTGCTCCCTTTCACAAAATTTCCAGAGAGCTGCTGGGCTTGCCTCATCGCCTCCCGCCCTTCCTGTTTTAAACTCATTTTTAACTTCCATCACATTAACTTCCACTTTTATGATACAGCAGCTCTGATTTTCCAGAAGGATTTGCAGTCATGTGAGCTCCCATACCATCACGATGCAGAACATTTCCATCTCCTCAAACACTCCCTCCTGGCCTCCATCCTTTCAAGCCCTGGTGACCGTTGGTTGGTTCTCAGTGCTAACAGGTCCTTCTCACCCTTGGCCATGGCTGTCCACCTTTCGTCCCCACCCCTGCCCCTGCTGGCACCACCAACCCCTTCCCTGTCATCCTAGCCAAGGCTCTGTTTTCAGTTTCCTTTAACTTGGACTCTCCCAAGTGGTCCTTCACTCCGTCTTCTGGAAGCACTTCTTCCCTCAGCTTCTGGAACACTACAGGCTGCTGGGTTTCTTTCTAACTCAACACCTGTTGCTTCCTGACCACCAGAGGTTGGAGTTGTCCAAGGCTGGTGCCAGACCTCACACTCCATCCATGTGCACATCCCTACCCGGGTCAGACACTTCCTGCGCTGCTTTGACCTTCAACTCAAGCTTATGTCCCCAGCTCTGGTCTCTCCTCTGAGCGCCGTGCATGCGTTCCGCAGACACTCAGCTGTTACACTCCACGCGGCCAAACACATGTCCTGATCTCCGTGAGTTCCCCCAACTTACCCTGCTTCTCCGGGTGACCATGCCATGCTCACGAATGTCACCTCCACTCTTCCAGCAGCTGCGACCAAGAATCTAGGACTTACACTCATTCCTCTCTCTCCTCTACACTTGACCTCCAATACGTAAGGAAGTCTTGATTCTACTTTCAAATTTATACTGGACTCTGGCCCTTCACGGTGGCCCTGCCTAGCCCAAGCTCTTCCAGACTAAATCTTCCAGACTAAACTGCCACTAGTGTCCTCTCTGCTTCTCCTGCATGACGGTGGTCTGCCCTTCTCCCAGGATAAGAGTGATTTTACAAACGTAAGTGGAGTCAGAACTGTCCACAGCTCCCCATCATACCTGGAATGAAATCCAGACCCGGTACCAAGTCCAGGGAGCCCTCCGTGACTGACTGACCATTTCTACCACACCAGTGCCCACCACTGCCCCGCTGTCAGCTCCAAGGGCACCACCTTCTCTTCCCCACCCCACCACAAGCTCATTCCTTCTCACGTCCTTTGCATTGGCTAGTTCTGTGTTGGGGGTGCTCAGCCCCAAACACCCCGAAGGCAGCTGCCCACTTTCATTCTGTTTTCTACTCAGTTGACAGCTGCCCAAAGAGTCCGGACCGTCCTAAGACCCTCGGACTTGTGTCTCGGCCTCATCCCTCCGGTAACACTGATCAATCTCTCAGGTCAGGCTCTTTGGTGATTTTTCGATTGTCTCTCCCGAAATTCCTGGACAGCAGAGCCTGCTGCTTGCACTCGCTCTTGCAACGCCAGTCCATGCACAGGCCCGGGCACGCCGCCGTAAGAACTTGAAACCAGTTGTAGAACGGACGGATAAAAAATGTGATTTTCACGCTAGCCCCATCGATTCCATTCTCCTACCTGAGGCACACATTAGTCACAGCAGCTTTCCAGCTCCAACGGCAGGCTACACAAGTCAGACTAAACACGGGCTCAAATAGGTACTAATAATCAGTAATGTTTGCTGGATGGTAAATAAACCCTAAACACCCTTCTAAGCATTTTATGGGCGTGAACTTATTTAACCCCTGCAGAAACTCTGAGGGAGGTCTATGATTACCTGCATTTCACAGAAAAGGAAAGCGGAGCACAGAGAGGTGAAGCGTTGTCCCTGGGGTAGCACAGCTTGTAAGGGGAAGAGGCAGGCTTCAGGGCTCTGTCTTCTGGCTGCAGAGCCTGCATCTCCCCAGAATGTTCTGTTCTTGAGCATTATGCTGCCATACCACAGTCAGACCCTTGAGGTGTGGGAGAATCTTGGGAGAAATCCGAATTCTTTCTGTGGACCTCCTCCACCGGGACGTTGCTGAATAAAGGGCGTCAAGAGCAGGAGCCTGGCTGCTGTGACTGTGGTGGGCCAGCCCGGGCTGGGGCCACCTGGACATCTGGAGAGGAGGGATGAGAGTCCAGGGCTTGAAGGGGCCGCAGAACGAAGGCACCACCCTAACCATGGATAGGAGCAGTAATTGGGAAGGAGTTCCTGATCACAAAAGGAATTGTGTGGTGTTGGGGAATGTAGGAGAGGGAAAAGAGGTAAAGAAGGATGAAGGGAGGAGAATAGAGGGCAGGGGAGAGGGAAGAGGGAGGACGTGGAGGAGGAGGGAGTGGGGAGGGAGAAAGGGAGGGAAAAGGGAGGAGGGAGAGGGTGAGGAGGAGGGGAGGGGGATGGGGGGGACTGTTGCAGGAGGGCACATGGAGAACCGCACTGGGGATGGTCAGCCAGGCTGCAGGGGCTGCCTGTTTGGAATTCGCACCTGCACTGACCTCTCCTGAATTCTCTCCTAGCTGCCCCCTGCGAACCAGCCAGTGAAGGTGAGTCGGACCTCCTTTTCCTCTTTGCAGCCCAATCCGTGCAGCGGGCCCATGGGTGCTGTCTGCCATCCGGTGACAGCCGCTGAGGCCTACCATGGCAGCGGCTCCCAGGGGACCAGGCTGCTTGTGTTCAGGTCAGTTTCTGCACCTGACACGTGGCCGCTCAGCTAGGGGAGCAGGTCTTCTTGAAACCATAGCCCTTTCTGTGGGAAGTCGCAGCTCGGGAAGGGAGATGCTGTTTCACTGGAAGTCACAGAGTGTGGAAGACGGACGTTAGAAGACTCGTCGTCCTCCCAGACTCGGGGGTGGCAAAGCCCTCGTGTCTTCCCCATGAGGTACTCCCCCAGGAGCGATGGAGGAGACACTGCCATTACACATCCGTAGAGAATGTGACAGTCGGTCCCAGGACCACAGGAAAGCCAAGTAGCTCTCTGTCCCCCTCCCATTTCCAGCCCTGCTCTGTAGCCACAGCCGTTACCCATGCGACTTCTCTCTCACTCTAGTTGGCACAAACCCAGCACTCTGACGCTCATTCGAGGTCTTGCTTCTACCAGATAAAGAGTGGAGGAAGCTTTCTCCCAGAAGGAATCTTCCGCTGAGGTGCATTTCAACCCAGGATACATCAGAACGGCTACCTGTGGGGCTCGAAGAAGCTTCCTGCCCACCACCCCCCCCGAGAACACAGGTCATGCACACAGCCGAGGAGCACGGCTCTGCACAAATACTGGGGACCAGCCCAGGCTTCTGGGATGCTCTCCCAAAGTTCGTCCAAGTGGAACTCAGGCTGTGGGTTAATGCCGACACACTCTGTGCCTGATCCTGCTTCTACCCCTTGAGCGCCCAGTCTGAGCCCAAGCGCAGACCCAAATCCACATCCAGAAGAAACAAAGCTTCCACGACCAGGAACTTGCCAGGTTTGCCTGGGAGTCTGAGAATTCTCTGAAACAAGCTCGGAGCTACAAGACCAAGCTCCAGGCCTTGCAAACTCCCCTGTCCGGTGTCCTCTCCACGCCACCAGCCCCATTCAGAAGAGTGGGGAATGGGTTCCTGGATGCCTTTTTTATTCCTTTCTCTGTCCTCAGTCCTCTGGGGGATTGCAGGATTCCCAGGAGAGTATACCACCCCTGCCAGGAATTCCAGGCCCCAGAGCGAACCTTCTGGTACTAACACTGGACTAGGATTTATAATGTCCCAGGGTAAAGCATCCTAGTAACAAGGCTTGAGGCTGAGAGGTGTGGCAGCAGCAGCCCCCTCTCGGGATCCAGAACACTTGACATTTTTATCTGAGCAGAGCCTCTGATGCTGGGTAAACAAATATTTCGAGAGCTGGCGTCCTCCGGGATCCGATGTCTTGCTGGGCACTGCCGCCAGGCAGACGGAGAGGAGGGGAGGCTGGACCCAGCTTTGCCCATCTGTAGTGCATCCATAGAAGAGCCCCTATGGCCAAAAAGGGAGACATCCCTGGGGCTCAGGGTATGGAATGAAACTGCCCCTGATGGCCGTGGTTTGCACGAGGTTTGCACAGAGTCTCAGAGCAGGGGAGCTGCGCGTGTGCGGGTGGCATTTCCAGGCACGCGTACGCCTGTTCCTTCCATTGGGAGCAGTAGTAACAGGCAGGAGAGGTTCAGTAAAGAAGGCACTAAATTCCACTAATCTTTCCCCCACTGGCCCCATGTCCCATGTCACGTTCTGTCCTTGAAAGACAGTGTGTGGCTCTGGGATGCCGGGGGGAGTGAGCAGAAGAAGATAACCGACAAGGTTTATGACAAGGATGAATGAAACACACTCACTTTTCCTGAAACGTCAGGCTTCACCAGCTCCGGTAACAGTGGTCGGCGCCCTGCCCTGTGTCCAGAAAAGGTGTAGTTTGTGGACAGAAACGTCAAAGAGTGGGAGCCAAGCGGGAGGTAGAGGTTGCCTTGTGGGGGGCGGAGACGTGGCCCAGGGTCAGGTCATGCTGGAGTGGAGGGCGGTCTCTGCACCCAACTCGCCTTCTTCCAAACACAGAGAGCTCAGTGTGCCTCTGACAGGAACTCTGAAACCCATGGCCCCAGCATTTGTCTTTCATCCCTCTCTCTAGTGCTGCTTCTGACAGCCAGGCCCTCTCGGCCCAAGGAGGGGGGCTCGATGACTCTGACCTGTGAGATGCGGGCCACTTCTCAGAAGCTGGACGCCCCAGTCCAGTTCTGCTTCTTCACAGATAGTCAAACCCTGGGGCAGGGCTGCAGCCGCTCCCCAGAGCTCCAGCTCCCAACCGTGTGGAGGGAAGACTCGGGCTCCTACTGGTGTGAAGCAAAGACCTCGACCATCAGAGTCACTTGGAGCCCCAGGATCCAGATACAGGTGCAAGGTGAGCCCGGGGCTTGCACAGGGAACTTACACAGGGCCGGGGGCCTGTGGCTGCTCTCCCCTGGGGGGAAGGAGCTGGTGGACACATGCTGGAGCTTCTCTCCTTCTCAAAGTCCTTAAGGGATCTGCTCCTGTTCTCCCTAATCCCGCTCAAGTGCCCAGGAGAGTACTTAGGAGCCCCTCACGGCACCCTCCCTGTGCTGGAGAGTGGGAGCAAATCACTGCAAAATCCCAACCCTTGGCAGCATCCTCCCCAGGGGGGACACATGTGGCCGTGGTGGGGAGTCATGGGAGCGACAGAGAAGGGAGAACTCAGACCCGCACGGTAAGGGCCCGCTTTGGGCCCGAGGCTATGGGAGGCGAAGCTGGGGCTTGGTTTTGAAAGAAAGGAGGAGAAAGGGGCGTTCTGTGACTGACCCGTGTCACTCTGTGTTCCGGGGGGCACGCTAACGTCCTCCCCCATTCTCAGACAATGATGCATCCACGGTGCTGGGAAGAGGATGTGGAATACCTCCAGAAGGTTGGCTTCCCCACCCTTGCTCAAAACTCAACACTGGTGAGGCTGGACAGGAGCAAAAAACCACCGGGCAGCCGGCCCGGCTCCAGGCCCCACGTGTGCTAGGTCATGGGACCGTCCCAACTGTAGGAGATAGCTAGTATCCCCCTCTGCATTGTACAGATGGGAGACTGAGTCTGAGAAGTGAAGTGGTTGTATCAAGCACCCACAGTAAGACGTGGGGCCAGCATTTGAGGCCAGAAAGCTCGATCGGCCGTCTCTCCTGTGGCCGCCATCGTCCCATGCCCTGCAGAGCATGGGCTGGAGAGGCCCGGGCCCTGGAAGCCCCACTGCCCCGGGAAGGGAGGGAGCTGCAGCCACCATGTAACAGTATGGCCTTCTCACCCCCACACTGTCCACCTGACCGAGGCTGCCCCCAGCCAGCAGCAACCCCACCCCCCCGAATACCACCCACCACCACGGAGCAACATCAGTTATTGACTTGACCCAAGGCCTGTGCTTGCAGGACTGTCACATCCCCAGTGCCTCCTTGTGTTTGTGTAGGAGTCCCCGTCTGGAACGTGAGCTTGGAGACACAGCCTCCAGGGGGACAAGTGCAGAAGGGAAAGAAGCTGGTTCTCATCTGCTTGGCCACCCAGGGCACAGGAGACATCACCTTCTCCTGGTACAAAGGGGCCCTGGGTTTGACCCTGAAAACAAAGACCCAGCGTTCACTCACCGCCACGTTCGAGATCCCGGCGGTGACAGACAGTGACGCAGAGAAATACTACTGCACGGCCGACAACGGCTACCGCCCCAGCATCAGCGAGCTGGTGAGCGTCACTGTCAGAAGTAAGTTCCGGAGCTTCTGTCCCACCAGCACCCCCACTCGCTGGGCTCCACGTTCCCCCGGGCACCGTGCGGATGACCAACGGGGCTGAGCCTCTGTGGGCAGGGATAACGAGTCTGTCACGGTATGGAGACCCTCTCCAATAGCCCCTTGTCTCCCTCAGGTCCAGTGTCCCATCCCGTCCTCACCCTCAGGGTGCCCGGGGCCCAGGCCTTCCCTGGGGACGTGGTGGAGCTTTGCTGTGAGGCCCAGAGCGGCTCTCCCCCGATCCAGTACTGGTTTTACCATGAGGACGTCATCCTGGGGAGCATCTTGGCCCCCTCTGGAGGAGGAGCCTCCTTCAACCTCTCTCTGACCACAGAACATTCTGGAAACTACTCCTGTGAGGCCGACAATGGCCTGGGGGCCCAGCGCAGCGAGGTGGTGACCCTCAGCATCACAGGTATGGCTCAGGCCATTGAACTGTCTTGGCCAATGTCCCTCTCTGATATCCCGGAGAGTTTTACACAGCATTTCTGGTGCTGCGTTACCTATGACAGAGCGTCTGAGGGTGGTGCTGTCCCGGGAGGTGTGTTTGAGGGGCACAGAGGACGTGAAGGCTGTGCCTCCCTCCTGCCATGAGGGTGATGAGCTGCAAATCACATAAGTCAGTCCTGCTACCCCCGCCCCTGGCCCAGGAAGAGCAGACTTTGGCTTCAGCCCTCACCCGAGATGTCTGCTCTCCAAAGGCCAGCCCTGCTGCAGGCTGGCTCACGGGCAGACCTCTCCCCTCAGTGCCTGTGGAGGACAAAAAGGAACTTCTCGCCTCAGGAGTCCTGGAGGGGCTGCTTGGCACCCTTGGTCCCACCGTTATGGCCTTATCGCTCTGCTGTTGGCTCAAGAAAAGAATGGGTTAGTATTTATAGATTCTGGTATTTTGTTACTGTGAACTTTGTTTTCACAGAAATAGGCGGGACTGGGGACAGACAGGAACGCTGTGGGGGAGGGATACGTCCTGCCAGCCCCCAGCCTGCAGATCCGCTCCCAACCCCCAGCCTGGGAGCGGTACCCGTGTCTGTGGTCGAGTCCCTCTACCCCCGTGTGTGATCCGTCGGGGCTCAACTGATGTCCGGTGTGTCCGGGATCTAATTTTCACCCAAAACTCTGACTCTATTAAAAACAACAGGTCAGCTACTAGAAGAGAAACACAGTTAGCAACTCCAGCTTTGCTGACCACCCCCCAGTTAAACTCAGTGCCTCCGTTCTCATCCCCCCAGAGCACCGTCACGAGCTCTTCCCGTGTTCTGGAACACTCACCTACGCACCCGCTCGTCTGCTCATGGCGGGATCTCTCCTACTTCTCAGCCTGACTGCCTTTTCCCCCAGAGGCTTCAGCCAGCCACACGGCCTACAATTCTCTCCTTTTATTCTTTCCTCAGAGCCCTAAGTTGTTTAGCTTCGCCCCGGCTCGCAGCTGGTAATTACATATTATTCAGGTGTTTAATCCTGGACTCCTGTTCTCCCCTGAGCAAGATGGAGACCATGTGAGATTCTCACTGAAATTCTAAACTTGTCCTGCCGCTTGGGGCCCCTCACCTCACCTGTAACGCGGCTGTGGCTGTGCCTGTGGTGCTTCTGAGGGCTCTTGTCATGACAAGAGTAGGTGGTGTGTTGTCAAAACCCAAAGCCAAAAAGACAATAGGTGTTCGGGTTCAGAGGCTCGGGCTCAGGTCCTTGCCGTGGGATGAACCGTCTGGAAGCTCACCGGCTGCTCCGCACTGAGTGTCTTCACCTGAGAGTGAAGGATCTGAGCAAACGACGCCCTCCGGCACGCGGTGACAGGCCTGGGGAGCAGCCCCCGCAGAAGGGCCATCTGATTCCCTCCTGACGTGTTTGCTCATCTGCTTGACTTGTAGGAAGACCAGCGGCTGCAGACCCGGGCAGGTGAGGCTCTGCTGCCTCTGCGTGTGCTGAAGATGCAGGAAAGCCCACCTTCCCCGCTCCAAGTTGTCCTCTCTCATGTGCTTGTTGTGGATCTTATTATCTGGAGTTCTCCCACCGCTAACAGGGTCTGTTTGCTGCTCCTCCTCATTTGTACACGGACTAATTGATTCAAATCCTTTTTCCGTCATTCTTCCTGATTCACCTCCCTCACGAAACTGACCCATTTCACACATTACCAGTGAGTTGATTTATCCAATCAATTAACCAATACCTGAGCATCTGTGAGTCATTCTGATGAGGCAGGAAAACAGGATCCTGAGAGCCTGAAAGTATCTCAAAGGCATGAAGATACAAGCACATTTCCGTCATTCAGGCCAGAGAGTGATAACCATCCCGAAAACTTGCTGGCAAAGTTCTTTAGTTTAGAGGAGGAAAATATTTTTAAAACATCAAAGTTTAGTTGACATATTTTTGTACCATGTTGTTGTTTATGCCAACAAAAATCAGATTATTTTCCCAAATCAGAGTAGCAGTCTTCCAGGGGTACAGAGCCCTGTACATGCAAGTTCACTTTCTGCTGCTTGTTCTGCCTAAAAACTTGTTCTCCATAGGGGGGGAATCAATATTCTCACTTAGTATTCGCCGAGCACTTGTGATGGGAGGGGCCCTGTTCTAGGTGTGGGCAACACCGCACTGACCCATCACGTAAGGACCTGCTCTCACCTCGGGCTGTGCACTCCATGGCTGCTCTGCCGTGCCTTGCTCAGCCCAGGTTCAGAGTTTGTAACACACAGTGGAGCTCACTGCGGATCTTCCCAGAAGTCAGTATTCTGCTCAGGACCCTTGTTAACAGGCTTCTCTCCTTCGATGTCTCGCTCACAAACCTGGACAGTAATGTCTGGGGTATCTGGGATGTTTTCCCACAGAGTTATCTTGTGTTTCTGTGTCTGCAGGAGCCCTCCCAGCCCCGTGCCACAGGTGTCCAACTACATCAACTCAGCTGCCCCACTGCAGGAACAGTTTATATACGAGAATGGTGAGGTTTCCCAAAGGTTCTGGCCCAAGCAGCTAGAGGGGGCCAGGGAAGGGGTGGAGTCTGCTAGCCCACCAGTGCCTGCTGTGCCCCAGCCACCCCCAACAACAGACGGCACATTTGTCTTCATGGTGACAGATGGTAGGCATGGAATGAGGTAAGTGGTAGGAAGAAAGGACTGTGTCACTATGCCTCCTTTCTTCTCTTCAGTGAATGTCGTAAGCGGGGACGAGGTCTACTCTTTGGTGTACCACAGGCAGCAAGAGCGGCAAGCAGCAGGTGAGACGTGAGGGAGTGTATGTGTCTCTGACTTTTGTCTTTTCTGGAACCAAGTGGACAATCAGTGCCTGCAAATGGCATATGGAAGTGTTCTTCAGCACTGCAGCTCTGCCTTGGAGTTGGCTGTGGGCTTTGCTCTACCTTCCTGAGCACTGGCCTTGGGTCTGGAAGCCACCCCCAGGAGAGTCCAGTTCTGGTGCTAGCTCAGCACAGCCTGGTCAGAGGAAGATTGGGGTGGTGGTGTCTGCCTGCCCTCCTTGTGTGGCCCCACTTGCTGCTGTTGTCCCATCCATACCTCAAGGGTCCAGAAATGTGAAGAGTGTAAATGCCCAGAGGGACTTCTTACACGTCCACCTCTAGGCTGCCCATTGTCCTCCGTACAGCAAGGAAATCATGTTTGTAAGAGATAAAAAAAGCAAGAATGAAATTGCTGACAGAAATCAATACATGGGAAGTAGATAGGAGGAGAAGAAGCCTTTATTAGCATGACTTTAGGGAAGGACTTCAAATAGAAGTGAAATCTTACAGCACACATCTTTTGTTCCACAGTAGACCCCCGAAGGACACATACCACAGACCAGGTGAGTTAGAAGACTTACAGACTTTCTTTCCTGCTCTTCTTTCTTTCTTCTAGTGGCTCGTTCTCAAACTCTTAAAACTATGGCCACTTAGGAAAAATAAAAGCTTCTCAGGGTCTATCTCTTCCCTTATGTCCCCACACAGCGGGAAAAACATTTGGTCATAACAATAAAGCCTCACCATGCAAGGGAATGTGGGAGCCTTGCACAGATGTTTCCTTTAGCAATGACACATGGATGATCTGTAGGTACAGTGTAGCACACGGCAAGTCTAAAAATTCTATACCTTTAAAATCTTTATCCTGAAATACTGTTGAACCACACACACACCACTTTGTGCTGTGAGGTTAATCACACAATCTGTGGAAAACTAAATTAATATTGAACAAAGCTAAACTAATAGTGATTTGTGTCAACTCAGTAATTTGCAAACCTTGAACAATCCAGGAGATCACTGGTAATACAAAGATTCTTTCAGAAAATTACAGGAATTCCAGCTCTACATGGGTGCAAGGATAGTAGGTGCTTTGTACATTTGTCTAGTATGGAAGGGGGGAGTAGCCAGAGGTCTCAGGACAGAATTTGTGTTTAGTTTAATGTAGTTTATGAGTACAAAACTCTGACATCCTTAAGAAAAAATGATAGCCTGTGGAAATGCCTAATGGTGGTCCATTAGAATGGGAGTTTGCACATTTGGATGAACTTATGGCTCATCAGAAACACCTCTGCAGCCCACTCGTGGGACACAGGCCTTTGAAAATGCTCACCTATGGTCGGTCTTCGAAGAGGCTCTACTTTCTGGGCTGTGTGGCGTGCTGTGATAGGACTCATCCAGGGTGGTTGAGGAAGAGAACCACGTGTCTTCCCTGCTCTGGTCCTATCCATGTGCCTTTGCTTTTAGGATGCCTCAGCCATCTATTTTAAGCTGAAGAAGGCAAGTCCTGCAGATGTGGACTATGAAGATGCCATGTAAAGTCCTGGAAGATTCTGCTCTTTGGAAACCATCCATGACCCCAAGCCTCAGAACTGATATGTTCTTCAGAGATCCTGGAGTAGTCAGCTTTCCAGGACTTCTCATCTAGGTGCTTCCCCTCACCCTCCAGAGTCTATTCCTGCATCAGGCCAAAAGCCCTGAAGAAACCATCCAAAAGACCCAACATGAACGTAGGGGTGGGGCATCACTCCTACTGGTTCTTTTAGGCACAGGTCAAATTGTGCTCTAACTTCATTCTATAAGAGGAAACGGGTTGGGTGACCTTGGGATGGAAGGACAGTGAAGCTCACTTGGAGTGCGTGGACATGAGGTTAACGATTCTGCAGGCAGCTATGCAGAGGTGAGCGCCCATCCTCTTGTCCAAGTGCAGATGCCCTCTGTGTTGAACTCCAGAATAACCCTGACACATACATGACTCTTCCTCTTTCTGCATGAAATATGTGACTTGGTGCACTTGGAGTCACTATATCATTATCCACAGTGACTATGGGTACATTCAATTTCAGTGACATGTTTTGTATTCACAGACTCATCTAGATGCCCCCATATTTATCATGACATACAATCATTGTGTCACCACACCCAAAGTTCTGCATTTGCTGCACCTCTAGAAGCTTATGAATATAATTTTTCCTCTTTTATTTACGAACTTCAAAAAAAATGTGACAATACAATTTGGAGTCCATGTTTTCATTTTAAAACAGTTAATTATACACCAACTCTTACAAATTAAAACAATTTAGAAGTATATAATATAAAATGTTGGAGGCTTCCCTATATCTAACACCACAAGTGGTACCCCTGTGTTTAATAACAGCATTGATGGGGCGCCTGGGTGGCTCAGTTGTTAAGTATCTGCCTTCAGCTTGGGTTGTAATCCCAGAGGCCTGGGACCAAGCCCTGCCTGGGTCTCCCTGCTCAGCGGGAAACCTGACTCTTCATCTCCCACTCCCCCTGCTTGTGTTCCCTCTCTCGCTGTGTCTCTCTCGGTCAAATAAATAAAGTATTAACGAATAAATAAACAAAAAACTTAGCATTGTTAATCAAATACTATCATAATATATTTTAATCTTTTCTTTTTTTTTACCATTATTAAGGAGTCTTTTATTTTGAATAAAGCTGTAGTAAAAACCATAAGGAAGCCCTCAGAATCCTTTTCAATCACTGATGCACATTAGGCGGATTCCAAAAATTTTCTATTATTAGAAAAATACTAAAACAAATGTCCTCATACAAACGTATTTCTGTGTTCCCACTAATCCATCTGAAGGAATAATGTGTAAAGCAGGGACTCGGGCATTTTAGGCCATTCAAGAGTATTCAGCACAAACACAGAGTTTTTCCCTAACAGGCCACTCTTTTCTTAAAAAGAAAGTCTTCTGTACCCCAATGTTTATAGCAGCAATCGCCACGGTCGCCAAACTGTGGAAAGAACCAAGATGCCCTTCAAGGGACGAATGGATAAGGAAGATGTGGTCCATATACACTATGGAGTATTATGCCTCCATCAGAAAGGATAGATACCCAACTTTTATTGGACGGGACTGGAAGAGATTATGCTGAGTGAAATAAGTCAAGCAGAGAGAGTCAATTATCATATGGTTTCACTTATTTGTGGAGCATAACAAATAGCATGGAGGACAAGGGGAGTTAGAGAGGAGAAGGGAGTTGGGGGAAATTGGAAGGGGAGGTGAGCCATGAGAGACTATGGACTCTGAAAAACAATCTGAGGATTTTGAAGGGGTGGGGGGTGGGAGGTTGGGGGAACCAGGTGGTGGATATTAGAGAGGGCATGGATTGCATGGAGCACTGGGTGTGGTGCGAAAACAATGAATACTGTTATGCTGAAAATTTAAAAAAAATGTTAGCAAAAAAAAAAAGAAAGAAACTGAGGGTTGCTGAAGGGGTTGTGAGTTGGGTGATGAGCAATAGAGAGGACATGCTCTGTGATGAGCACTGGGCACTGTATACCACTGAATTATTGAACTCTACATCTGAGACTGACATACTACATGTTGGCTAATTAAATTGAAATTAAAAAAAAAAAAAGAAAGTCTTCTGATGGTCCAGATTTTATGTGTCTTGGTTTCAACCTTCTATCATTTGTAGACATGGGGTTTTGCTTCTGAGTTCCAGATGAACTAAATACTGAGCTCATAAAAATCATCTAGTGTAGTATTTTCTCCTCAGGGCACCAGTAACATCAATTTATACGTGTTAACACTCTGTTTTCACTTCCTTTTTTTTTTTTTTTCTTATCTGTAATGGTGGAAATTTCCCTTCTTTTTTACCTGTTTAATAGAACATTTAAAAAGTTATGTAATATTCCCATCACTGAGTGAATGAATGCATGCTTCCTCTGACTGGTGAATTACCACCTCCTGAACCAGGAAGGAGTCGTTAGCAGAGCAGGCTAGAAAGAATGGGCAAATCCCTTGAAGGAAAATCAAAACCAAAAGCCAGAAGCACAGTCTGGATCTCAGTTCTTGGTCTTCTACCACCAACAGCCAATATTCTATTGCTGGGAAGACGCCCAAGGAAGCTGCCTTGGGTGGCTCTACTAAGGGTCAGTGTTCTCAATGCCCCAAGGGTCCCCTCCACCCAGCTCACACATATAAAATTAGAATGGAAAATAGAAAGCTTCAGATTGAATTGTGTTTGATCCCTTGGGGCCCCCACCATGACTGCCATCCCCAGGGAGCCTGGCCTCTCGTCAGGAGGTTCTCACAGACCATGGGTGGTCTGCTTCCTATTGCAGATTCTGCTCAGATATCTACCCAAAGCCTCACTAAGTCTCCCTGCACCCCTCCCCACCTCAGACTTCAAGACTGGGATCCCCTCTACCTCCCACCACGGGAATGGCAATGCCTTCTTCAAAAGGGATTAGCAATAATTTCTAGTGACACTGAAGAAAGTGATCCTCCTCATGAAGAAGAACAATTTGAGGGCCGCCTGGGTGGCTCAGTGGGTTAAAGCCTCTGCCTTCGGCTCAGGTCATGATCTTAGGTCATGATCTCAGGATCCTGGGATCAAGCCCCGCATCAGGCTCTCTGCTCAGCAGGGAGCCTGCTTCCTCCTCTCTCTCTCTGCCTGCCTCTCTGCCTACTGGTGATCTGTCTGTCAAATAAATAAATAAATAAATCTTTTTAAAAAAATCCCTTAAAAAATAAAAGGAAGAAGAAGAAGAAAAATTTGAGATCTGTAAAACTCCAGGCTCCTAAAACCATCACTACCTGAGTCGAATATTATTCCTATCCTTCTCAGATTGCCTGGAGTAGATATGTGGATAATTCTCAGAGAAACTGGGTCTCTCAACCATCTTTATCTTCACAACTACTAGGGAGGAAATGGACAGAAGTTTCCAGATATTCTTGGTCGAAATTCCCTGCCATGTTGTCTGGACTATGGAGAGCCCATCAGAATTCTTGGAATTAATGAAATGCTTTGTAGAGAGTCTTCTGGGCAGAAGGTCTGGCTCTGCCTACATAATACTTAGAGAGTGTCTATTGACACAACATCAAGATTCCCGCCACCCAGCTCTGCTCCAACAAACATTAGCATCTCCAGAAGAATGTATTTCTCACCCTAGATATAAAATGTCATTTGTTGAATATCTAGGTCAAACCTCATTCAACAAAGACCTACCATGTTGTTCAAGATAACTACAGTAACAACTGAAATTACTACCATAGCTGCTCCCACACCAGGGTGGTGGCAGTGACAGGACCATATCCACAGCACGTATGCACCAATTCCTGTGGGAAGGGGCCGCACACATTATGACATTTAATTCTGTCATTGCAGCCTTGCAGCCCCAAATTCAACCAAATACAACCAAATACACCCAGTGGCCCACCCAGTGGCCCACCTACCCACCCTGTGGCCACTCATTTCTCTTCCCCTGCAGCACTCACTTTCACACAAACCACACCTCCCACCATTTGGTAACGCCGTGGGAAAAAGCTAATTGTGACTTTCCTGGTAATCAACTTCCTCAAGTGGGAGATGGTATTTATTTTTTTGTAGCTGTAGTTCATGAAGACTCTGTCTCTCTCAATCCTAACACACACACACCCCTAGCCTTGCATCTTGGGTCCCTTCCAAGACACTGAATGGAGTTGGCAGGACACTGCTGCCCCCGTGTCTGACAGGTGTCCTTGTGTATACTGCCACCTGCAGAGTCTCCGAGTCAAGGGTCTACCTGGTCTGTCCCAGAAGCTTTTGTGTCTACAGGTAACTCTGCTTCTTTCTGGCACCTGCGACTCCCTCCTGCTGGTGGCCAAATATCCCAGCACACGTCTCTCACTTTGGCCAGTGCACCCCGCCCTACAGTTTCACTTCCACCACTGTAACCTTGAACATAAGTTACTTTGTCCTCCAATGAACTGCTGAGCTTCTGGTCTCTGGCCGTGGCCCCTACTTTGCATCCGAGTTTGTGGGCTTGCAAGTTGTGTCCGTCCACATGTGAATGTCTGCCATCAGTCAGGTGTGACCAGCATCCAGATGGAGCGTGCTGGTCACCTCAAGGACTCGCTGCCACCCCAGTGGCCCACCTACCCACCCTGTGGCCACTCATTTCTCTTCTCCTGCAGCACTCACTTTCACACAAACCACACATCCCACCATTTGGTAACACCATGGGAAAAAGCTAATTCTCAACTCAAGAGCCACATGTCCGTACAGGACAGGATGAAACCACAAGTAGTTTGAAAAATCGGCTCAGATATCTATGAAAAACCAACACCTACCACCAGCTCTACCTCCACATTTTGCTTATGCCTTTTTCTGTATTTTCTCCCTTGACTCACTGTCCTCCATCAGAATCCTGTGCTGTCGTGACTGGGCAGGATGAGGAGGAGCCACAGGCCACCTAGAAGCCCTCCCAGAGGCAAGGGCTTGGAGAGAAGCTCAGTGGGCAGCTCTGGTCCCAGGGAGAGAAACACTCACCCTCTTCCAAACACAAATAGATCACTTGCCTGTGCAGAAAGGTCGAGTAGCATCGCTTGGTACACTTTGAGGTGAGAGAGGCTTAAAAAAAGCCAGGTCTTATTTTTTTATGAATCTTTTAGAAATATATAAATAGCATGTGTTTGTTGTAAGAATACGAGAACACAATGATAAGCAAAATGAGGAAAATAAAAATCACCTTTAATTACATTAGTCAGGGAGCACCTGGGTGGCTCAGTGGGTTAAGTGTCTGCCTTTGGCTCAGGTCATGATCCCAGGGTCCTGGGATTGAGCCCCATTTTGGGCTCCCTGCTTCTCCCTCTCCCACTCCCCCTGCTTGTGTTCCCTCTCTCGCTCTTTCTCTGTCAAATAAATAAATAAAATCTTTTTTAAAAAATTACATTAGTCAGATATAATCACACTAACACATTGGTGTTTATTGTTCCACACATTTTTCTTTAATTGGTCAATTTGGGGGAGGATGGTATGTGGCAGATAAATTGCTTTGAACAGCCCCTTTTTCCTTAACAGTATATCGTGAACAACTTCCATTGCTATTAAATATTTTGCAGAATCATTTTAATGGCTGCTTGATAGCACACTGACACATAATTTATTTTTTAACCTGCTTTTTGGGGTATTTTTCACATTTTCTTTTTATACCACTCTAAGCGAGGCGTTGATGATATGACGTATGACATCACTTATATACGTCAGCATTTCCCGAAGGAAAGCTATGTCTGTGGGGACTGACAATGCTAAGCCTTCACCTGAACAGAAGACATCGAGCCTATGATTCAGTTCACTGCCAGTCAGTCCCCAGGTTACAAATACCAATGATTTTATGATTTACAGTTTCGTGCTCTGTCAGGTCCACAAAGAAACATGTATCTGCCTTTTCAGCCTGCCCCTGAGTGGACTGGAGCACAGAACACTTACAGGGACCACATCTAATGAGAACAGGAGAGATAACAGGATTTGGGGATGTGTACTCTGGAGGGCGTGGCTGCGCTGGGGGCAGACTGCCATCAAAAGCAGCATGGATTAGAAATACGGAAGAAGACAACATTTCCAATGATACAGAGCACTTGTTAGCGACATCGTGTCCTAGAAGGCAAGCTACGGACTGAAGAAAAGATCACCCAGGAAGCCTGAGGGGTAGCACCTCTGGCCCCACTCTGACGAACACTGAGGAGCGTTATATGTCACAGTAAGATCCGACACCGTTTGAGGGTAAGACAGTGGAACGGGGTTGCCTGAGTTTGACTCTTGGCTGTCCCCACTGGAAACGGACCATGATGATCTTGGTCCATTGCTTGCCTTCCTTGCTGCCTGTTTCCCCAGCTGTGTAAAGGGGATCGTGCAGACTCCAGAAGATTGCTCTGGGCATCAAATAACCCCATGAGTGTGAGGCACCCAGAACTGTGTCCGACTCATGAATAGCTGTGTGTGTGAACCACCGTCAGTGTTGAGAGAAGGCGGTTCTCCAGCACCTAGAGGACCACCATCATTCTCAGAGCACCTATAGGAAAGAAGATTGTGGCCGGACATTGACAAGCCCTTCCACTTCCCTTTTTTTTTTTTTTCTTTCTCTCAAATTGTACAATACTTACTTTGAAAAGCAGTTTCCATTCCCTGTATATAGACCCCAGCCGGTGGCTGAAGGAACATCTCTTCTTGGAGAGCTGAACCAAGTCCTCATGCTGCTGTGGTCACTGTTGGTCATCTTTGGTGAGTCTGATAATTGAATTAGGACTGAGATGGCAGCAGATGGAGGTCTCCAGCTCCTGAAAGTCCTGAGGGTTTATCAGAGCCCAGGACCAGTAGGAAGGCTCAGGTGTCTGCTTTGAGCACAGGGAGCAGAGTCTGAGGCACAGCAGTGAGCTCTGGGCAAGTCAGACTGCAGCGCATCCTTCTCCTTAATGGTCAAGGTCAACTACCTCAGTTGTCCCTGGGTTATAAGCTCCTGCTTTGGTATCTTAGATAATTCATAGACTAATATGTTCTCATAAATACAGTTTTAATAATTTCAACATTTACTACTTCTCTGTGAAACTATTTAAACAGTTATCTCCAAGATGGGGTTCAGAAATGCATGGACATCCTTCACTCAGGCTCCTCTGTTGAGCCTTGGGCTACCAGGACAGGGAAGGTGCTGTAGGGAAACAATGTTCCCTTCTCTACATTCAGGAGACCAACCAACATTTGTTAATTAGTAAAAGGACTCTCACATAAAATATAGCCAGAGAAAAGGAATCCGTTCAAGGTGGGTTCGGCTTTCAAAACTGCGTGTGCTGGTTTCAGGCCATCAATAAGCAAGGTTGTGGCAGGACGTGCCCTCATGGGTCTTATCAGGACTGCAAGATGTCCAACAGTATTAACTGTCAGGGAACTTCAGAGAGCTAAAGGTTTATTACTTACAGAGCCTTGAATCTACACAGCACCTCCAGGATCAAATAGCAAGGTCGTGGGGAGAGAAACCAAGGGATCTGGGGTTCTGCTCTTATTGGGGTGGAGGCCGGGGGCCCAGAGCTTCATGGGCTCACTCTTTGCTAGTGAATTAAAACAAATGAGTGGGACCTGAAAGCTTGAGAAGAGAATAAACCAAGTGGCCCACATGGTCAGTTATGGAAATCCACCAAGATCTCCAAAACGAAGAAGGCTCAGAGCAGGGGAGGGGTCCCTGCTCTCTGTCTGGTCTGATGGCTTCAGTGTGCTGGGGTCACAGGCTTCTGCGGATGCCTCGGCCTCAAAGCTTAAGTCATACACAAAATCGGGCCAAGAAAAAACGCCAGCTGTCAAGGTTTGCACTACAAACTCTGCCTGGGTGTTTTCTGATGAACCCTCGGTGACGTGGGATATGGGGTGGACGCCCGGGTGTGCAGGAGGTTGGTGGGGAGAGGGAAAGGATGAGGAGATGAGAGAATCACTGAACATCTGGCTCCGTCCATGGGCGCACCCCAGGTTCTCCCTTTGGAATCACCTGCCTTGTGACTGTAACAAAAGTGGGGGCCAGCTGGTGCTTGAGGGAGATCGTGTTGTTGGTGATGATGGAGTAGAGGAACAGAACAGGGGGTAATGGGGCGTTGGGGGGCAGTTTAGCAGAGTAATAGAAATGTCTAAACTGTAAGGGCAAATGCTCTGGGCTAACCTCAGATTCTTGATTCCCTCACAGCTCCTCTCAGTGAAGAGGCAGGTGAGTCATCTACGTCCTTGTTGTTCCGGGGTCTGGTGTCTCCATCATCTGGCTCCCATGAGGTCCTTCAGAGAGGGACAAGTACAGGCTGTGGAGATGTCCCAGTGTCGCAGCTCCCCTGGCCCAACCCGCCTCAAGAAGGGCCCCCTTGGCTGGGTGAGGACAGTCTGCCTGGCCCACTCAGGTAGAGTCCACCGCCTGGTCACAGCCCCAGCTGTAGATATTGTGGCATCTGGAAGAGGGATTGTAGGCCAGAAAGCCGGCCCCTGGGCCCTTGGTGGAGGACGGTTCTCCAGGCCCTGGGAACATATCTCCTCCATGAGGTCGGGCTGAATGTCTTCACAGCTTTGAGAACAACTGTTCTCTAAGATACACGGCCAAGAGCGTGTGCACGGTGGGAATGGCGGTAGGTCATCGTTGCTCCGGCCCCAGATGGGGAAGTCAGTGCGTTGCCCCAAGAGAGTCAGAGAGCATCTCTGCAGCATCTGCTGTAGGTGCTGGGCTGCCCTTGCCGTGGGAGAGCGGCTGGGGCCACGCTGCAGGGCAGGCACACTTTCTGACCCCAAACAGGCAGGCAAGGGTCTCCTAGGCTGTGGTCTGGTGGCCCTGGCTCCGTGGCATCGCTGAACTCTGCATGCCGTCGTACCCGTGCTACCTTCCTAACGTTGTGTGCCTACAGCTAATCTCACCTTGCTCTTCTTGACTTCAAGCTATGCTCACCAAAGAAAGTGTAGAAGCAAGACTTTATTCTCTATGTAGAGAGCCTGGCCTGAAGTTAGAGTGATGGGGTTTGTTCCCGGGCCTCAACAACACCAGCTGTCAAGGGCAAAGTGTTCTTAGGGCTCCAAGACACTGTCTTGGAAGAGCAGACCCTCACCTCACCTTTCATGGCAAGAGAGGAGTGGGACGGGGTGCCAGGGGCCACTGCAGCAGCTCTGGCCTGGAGCCCTTTCAGGAGCAGGACTCCTCTGTTGCATGCACACTGGGCCATGAAAGGTCCTTAGCAACCGACCACAGGCTCACGTAGTCAGCTGGGCCCATGAGCTTGTCCATCATGCACCTTTTCAGTGGTTTCTCTATGCATGACACAGAATGTCTGCCCCCTTCCCTGATAGCTTTCTCCCTGGACATTTTCCCAGGTTCTAGATGAAGTCTGTACTAGTGGTTTAAAAATCAGCTTGATTATAAGTTCCACAGCCGAGTCCCCAGGGGATCCAGTCTTCACGAGTAAAGGAGAGTGAAAATCTCAAATAAGCTAATTGTTTCTGCAACCCCCCTTTTCTGCCCTTCCAGTTTCATTTTTGATAACCCAGATGGTTTTCCTTATGTCCAACAGGCAAATCTGGTTTTCCTCCTGGAACAGTCAGTAGCATGTTTTCCAGAAATTATGATTCTAAGTTTCAGGAGCGTCCTGTGGCATGTTGGCTCCGGTTCTGCCGGGGTATTTTATGAGGCACTCCCTCTTTTATACGGCTGACCTTCGCTTCCCTACACTACACATCCAATTTCTGGCCGCCAAGCCTCCAGAGAACAGGGGCAGGAGATTTTTGTTCGGGGTATAACTTAGTTCTTCACCTCAAGGTCAAAATCCTCAACTGCAGCCCTGAAAGGTAATGCAAATGTCCCAGACACAGAAGGTGCTCTGGTACCGTAAATACGCAGTCACAAGGCAGAGTCGGAGACAGGCAGTCCCAGGGGAAGACACTTACTTTTGGCAATGACTCTTTTCACTACGGCCAGTCCCCTAAGACCTGAACTTTGAGTGAAAGCTCCCTTCCACTAATTACTCATGGACTGGGTGGGGACGTGTTTGGAAACTAGTCAGGTGGGAAGTCCTGAGGTTTGAGGTATAGGGTCTTATTCTAGTAACCAGATACCTAGGCCCCCGTGGTGGTTTCCTCTGGCCAGACAAGAAGAAGATGAGGACCCTGAATTTAGAGCGCAGCGTAGTGCCTTTGAAGGCTAGATCAGAGCTGAGGAGGTGGGAAAGCAGCATGTCCCCTGAGGACCAAGGTCCCCTGTGTGACATCACCAGTAGAGAGGGCTAACCGGGAGGAAATTCGCTCTCATATCCCTGTGAAAAATTAGGTTTACTTTAACATTCCTGCCATTGACCGAATGTTTGTGTCCTCACCCCCAGACTCCTGTGTTGAAACCCTAATCCCAGGAGGATGGTAGCTGGGGGTGGGGACCTTGGGAAGTATAAGGTCATGGAGGTGGCGTCCTCAGGATGGGATTAGTGCCCTTAGAAAACGAGGCCGGAGAGCTAGAAAGTGAAAATACACAAGACATCTGCCGTCTTCAGCCCGGAAGAGCGGCCTCACCAGAACCTGACTGTGCTTGCATCTCGATCTTAGACTTTCAGCCTCCAGAACCCTGAGAAATAAATGTCTGTTGTGAATAAGACACCCGGCTTACGGTGTTTTGTTACAGCAGCCCATGCTGACTCAGATACCCCACAGAAAAAAAGAGGACGTGGTGGCCCCAAGTAGGTAAGGCGGGGGTTGGAACGTCCATCCTGCCTGAAGGGGAAGGAACTACGTTGTCCAAGAGCACAGGAAGGGGTCAGGCATCTGGCTCGCAGCAGAAATGGCAAATCCAGCCCCCTCACACCCTCTCTTGCAGATTGGCTGACCCTCAAGGCTCCCTCCGTTGTCTTTGAAGGAGACAGCATAGATCTGATGTGCCAGAAGAAAAAGGACTGGTGGAAAATCCAGACCGTGGTGTATTACAAGGATGGAAAACAGTTACAGTTTCCAGACAAAGTCTCTAGTGTTTCTATCCCATGTGCCTCTCTGAGTGACAGTGGCCAGTATTCCTGTTCTGCTACCGCCAAAACATACTTCCTTTCGAAGTCAGAATCTTCGAGAAGCGTCGGGATTGAAGTATTAGGTAAAAGCTTCCCTCCTGTGGGAGCTGAGCTGGATGAGACCAGAGCAGAGCGGGCGGGTCCCTGGAGGGGACACCTGCCCCCATGGCAGATGTGAACCAAAGTCCCACTGTTAGACTGCAGGAGGGAGCGGGTGAGGCAACCTGTCTGGTCTGAAGGTCACTTTGGCTGGTGTTGTTTCTGAGCAAGAACCACCCAACTTCCTGCTCAGGACACTTTTGATCCTTCTCTCCAGAGCTGTTTCCACGCCCTGTGCTCACTGTCAGCTCCTACTGGCCCACTGAGGGGAGCCCCGTGACCCTGACCTGTGAGACCCGGCCTTCTCCACAGAGGTCAAACGTTCAGCTCCGATTTTGCTTCTTCAGAGACAGCAAAGCCCTGGGGTCCAGCTGGAGCAGCTCTCCAGTGCTCCGGGTCCCTGCCATGTGGACGGAGGACTCAGGGTCCTACTGGTGCCAGGCAGAGACAGCAACTCTCAGGGTCAGAAAACAGAGCTTCCAATCCCAGATTCACGTACAGAGTAAGTACCCGTGGGTCTCAGTGTGGGGAGTCAGGCAGCTTCACTCTTGGACCCTCGTCTTTTGGGTTCTCTTGCAATTCCTGTCCTTGTGGAAAGTGGGGTGTGAGCTAGAGAATGGGCGTTTCATAAAAATAACAAGTGGACAAGCTCCTGTTAAAAAACAGAACCCAGTGGAGTGAAAGTGAAGATGGGACTGACTTTATTAGGCTTTCATGAGTCAGCAGGATCCCAGCTAGCAGGCAGAGAGATGCTCAGGGGAGTTGTAGGAAATGCAAGTGTTTATAGGCACGAGGTGGGGGAAGGGGTTCTTAGCAAAATAAGAGAGAGGATTTCCCCAGGCCAGGACATCTTTGGGCGAGGAGGAAACTGCCAGGTTTTCTTTTGTTTTTTTTTTTGTTTGTTTGTTTGTTTTTTGTGTATCACACAGATAACCTCTTTAGTGCAGAACAGGAAATTTCAGACTGACTTTTAGGAGGTCGCATTCCCAGGATGGGCTGAAACTGTGATTAAGTCTTGGTGTGCTGTCTATGAGCACAAATACTGCATTTGCAGCTTTTTTCCCTTCTGTTTTAAACACTCCTTATAACCTTTTTCTTCTTTATTGAAGTGATATCCATCAGCCATAGCTACACTGATCCCTTCCTGCTGTGCTGGTGTTTAGGAGTGAGCTGGGACTTCACCCAGCAAGGCACCGGCTCCCCAGGAGCTCTGCACATCCCACCCCCACCCCCACCCCCGCTGGCTTGCAACACAAGTTGGTTTGTTAGAAGGCACCACAGTGCTCCAGAGTCAGGGGACACATGAAGCATGGGAGAAAAGCAGAAAAGCCAGAGGAGGCATTGTAATTCGTGTGGACCCTTGTAACTGAGAATAATGCAGGAATTGTCATTGATGTTGTTAGTGGGAACAGTGCCTTTCCTGAGGTAGGACTGATGCTACCAGAGACCCCTTCACTCTGTGCAGAAGGCTCCACTCGGCACAGCGACTCCTCCCCGCAGAAATGTTCTCCTGTCCTTGGAGCAGATGACCCATCACACATTCGTTAGTGGTCCCATGATATTAGGCAGGATGGGGGGTGGGACATGCAGTATAAACACCCATATTCTTCAAGAGTCATCACTGTGGATTCCCTCCCTGTGTGCACTTACAATGGATTGCATGAACCCTGCCCTTATTCCCACTTCAAGCGTTAGCGTGAAGAAAGTCACGACCTCGTTCCAGAGTCCTCCCAAGTCCAGCTCCTCACCTGCCATCTTCGTCTGTCTAGGAGTGCCCGTCTCTAACGTAAGCTTAGAGATCTGGGCCCCCAGGGGCCCGGTGATCGAAGGAGGGAACCTGGTCCTCCTCTGCTCTGTGGCCAAAGGCACAGGAAACATCACGTTCTCCTGGCACAGAGAGGCCACAAGAACCAGTGTGGGAAGGAAGACCCAGCGTTCCCTGTCAGCGGAGCTGGAGGTCCCAGCTGTGCAGGAGGGCGATGCCGGCCTCTATTACTGCAGAGCTGACAACGGCCATGACCCCATCCAGAGCCAGCTGCTAAGCGTCCGTGTGAGAAGTGAGTTGCACTCTGAGTCAGAGCCAAGGCCGCGGTACCAGGAGTCACATGCCAGGGGTCAGCGGTAACTGGAGGGTGGGTTAACCCTCCAAGTTAGACAGCAGACCTCCTTCTTTCCGTGCAAGAGAACGTAAAGGGGGCTGGATTGGCATTAGAAAAACACAAGCTGATAATGACAAGGGACCGTGTCTTTAGACAGTAGCCCAGACTTGATATTCCCCCAAATACTAAAGACATTGTTAAGAATCTTGGAGACACACAATGACCAAGGGGCCAGGCCCTTCACTGACATCCTAGTCTGGGGGGTCTGTGTGTCTACTATGGTCTCACGAATCCTCTCCACCGGCCCCTTGTCTTCCTCAGGTCCAGTGTCCCACCCCGTCCTCACCCTCAGGGAGCTGGGGCCCCAGGCCGTGGTGGGGGACGTGGTGGAGCTTCACTGTGAGGCCCAGAGAGGCTCTCCCCCAATCCTGTACCAGTTTTACCATGAGAATGTCACCCTGGGGAACATTTCAGCCCCCTCTGGAGGAGGAGCGTCCTTCAACCTCTCTCTGACCGCAGAGCATTCTGGAAACTACTCCTGTGTGGCTGACAATGGCCTGGGGGCCCATCGCAGTGAGGTGGTACCACTCAACATCACAGGTGGGTTGATGGTCCCTGGATACAGGAGTGTTATGAACAATGGCTCTGCCCCAGTAGTCGGCACTGGTACCATATCGGGCTTTTGGAAGGTAGGCGGAGGTCCAAGTGATGTATACTCTGTGTGGGAGTTTGGAGAAGGTGATCTCAGTGCCTGGCTGCTTCTCTTCTCTCCACAGCAATCTGGAAAGTACACATCATACTCAGATAATGTGTGAAATTATATTAACCATTCCTGCATAGTCCTGCACAAGGATTCCAGGATGTAAGACTTGACCCTCTAAGCCTGATGCACTGTGTCTTCCTGTAGGGACCAGTGGCTGCAGAAGAAACCATGTCACAGCCAGGGTTCTCGGGACGCTGTGTGGTGGCCTCGGTTTTATAGCTGCTGCTCTGCTCTGTTATTACTGGTCCCACAAGATAGCAGGTTGGTTATTTACCATCTGTTTTGATTGCCTTTCATTGTTGTGAACTTTTCTATTACTGAGACAGATTGGATTTGAAAAAAGGAAGAAAGAAAACCTCCCCAAATCTGGTGAATTATTTTTATACTTCATGATTTTCTAAGGTTTCATGCAGTGGACAATGCTGCCATATTACTCGTTTTAGAATATGTCATGTTCCCCTGTGTGGAGATTAAAACCATTAACACAGTCCTTCATGCTTGCCTTTTAAATAAAAATGTCCAATTGTTAAATTATTTAATAATCTTCAATAGACATATTCAGTTTATATGCAGTGGAGTAAAACATAAGTAACTGGATTTAAAGAAAGGAAAACAATTTATACACTTTTCTCCTTTATTTATTGATTTTCTTATGTTATGTCACCACACAGTACATCATTAGCTTTTGATGTAGTGTTCCATGATTCGTTGTTTGCATATAACATCCAGTGCTCCGTGCAATATGTGCCCTCCTTAATACCCACCACTGGGCTCACCCATCCCCCACCCTCACCCCTCTAAAACCCTCAGTTCGTTTCTCAGAGTCCACAGTCTCTCATGGTTCATCTCCCCCTCCAACTTCCCCCAATTCACTTTTCCTTTCCTTCTCCTACTGTCCTCCGTGGTATTTCTTATGCTCCACAAGTAAGTGAGACCATATGATAATTGACTCTCTCTGCTTGACTTATTTCACTCAGCATAGTCTCTTCCAGTCCCGTCCATGTTGATGCAAATGTTGGGTATTTATCCTTTCTGACGGCTGATTAATACTCCATTGAGTATATGGACCACATCTTCCTTATCCATTCATTTGTCGAAGGGCATCTTCGACAACTCTTTCCACAAACTCTTTCCACAGTTTGGTTATTATGGCCATTGCTGCTATGAACACTGGGGTACAGATGGACTTTCTTTTCACTACATCTGTATCTTTGGGATAAATACCCAATGGTGAAATTGCTGGGTTATAAGGTAGCTCTATTTTTATTTTTTTGAGGAACCTCCCTACTGTTTTCCAAAGTGGTTTTACCAACCTGTATTCCTACCAATAGTGTAAGAGGGTTCCCCTTTCTCCACAACTTCTCCAACATTTGCTGTTTCTTGCCTTGTCAATTTTTGCCATTCTAACTGGTGTAAGGAGGTACCTCAATGTGGTTTTGATTTTAATTTCCCTAATGGCTAATGATGATGAACATTTTTTCATATGTTTGTTAGCGATTTGTATGTCTTCTTTGGAGAAGTGTCTGTTCATGTCTTCTGCCCATTTCTTGACTTGATTATTTGTTTTTGGGGTGTTGAGTTTGAGAAGTTCTTTATAGGTCTTGGATAGATCTTGGATATTTATCGATTTCTTGTTAGTTACTCACGGCAAGAGCAGTGACTCCTCTTCCAATTCTTGGATGTCTCATATGAGTCACATGGGACATCTTCACGCACATGCTGTGGCTGGCAATGGCTGGAGGGTGGGGCCTCGACTGGGACTCTCAGCTAGAACACAGGCACAACCTCTCAGTGTGGCCTGGACCCTTCACAGCATGATGCTGCATGGCAGTCAAACATGTTACATGCTGGCTTCCCTTTCAAAAGTAAGTGTGATAGCGAATCTGCAATGTGTTTTTCCAACTAATTTCAGATGACTTGGTTTCACTGGGTCCCTAATAAACTTGCTGGGATGCAAGGAGAGGGATCACAGTCTCCACCTTCAAATAGAGGTCTCAGAGTCAAAGAATTTGCAGCCATATTTTTTAAATTTCCAAACAAACCTCTACACATTCCAGTCCATGCGCCCCCACCCCACCAGACATCCTGAAGCTCCAGCCCCTGGGCCGCCCTGTCTGGCCTTGATAAATCCCCCACAGGACCAGCGATTCCAGAGCTAGCCCTCTTTCCAAGAGCCTCATAGTTCTTCTCTATCCTATCACCTCTTCAACCCTATAAATAGACTTCCTCCAGTATTTTGTCAAATATTTCCAGTTCTCAGAAGAAAAGTCTGTTCAATTTCTTCTTCTGTCATCATTGGAAGCATCAAAGCACCAGCTTCACTAACCAACACTCCCACAAAGCTGCTGTGTTTTCCTCATGACTGTGTCTCTGCTTTATTTGTAGGACCGGAATTTTGAGGACTCCTCTAAATGACATCCCATTCTGACCCCTACTAGTATTCTGCTAGCCAAGACATGTTACCTATGACCAATTATTGCCTCTGTTGTGTATGGCAAGCTTACACATATTATCTATAACTATAAGAAATAATTTTTAAGTGTGTTTTATGGTCCAGGTTTAATAATCTTGTGGAAGTTAAGTGGGCAGCCTTGTTCACACAGCCACTAGAAGGCAGAGCTAAGACTGGGTCCACGCTGGCCTGGGCACAAAGCCTCAACCCTCCCTATAGAACCTCATGAACTTAACGATCCTCCTCTTGCATGTTTCCCTGATTTCCCCCAGCTCCCCCTCTTCAGTGAGTGTCATTTATTAATCTCTAAGATACAGGACAAGCATGGGGCACAACAGAAATGCAAGATAAGCTTTTAAACTTGCAAAATGCTTCCTTAGACCTATCAGCTACCACAGGATGAAAGAAATTTTGGAAACTCATCAGATAGTGCAAATGTAATTCAGTTTTTTCAAGTCCAATGGAAGCTATATTTTTTAAACAGACCATTCAAGACTCAGGAACTGTGATACTGTTTTTTTTTTCTTTCATTATAGTTTTTAATTGATAAAAATATGAGGCTATGGAGAGGCTGTTTGTTAACATAAAATGATTTCTCATTCATCCATATTGATGAATTCTCTCACTTTTCATCTACATACCAATATACTATTGATTCTTTCAAATATAGAAACAATCTACAAAACAAAAAAAATTTATCTTCTCCTTTTCAATTTTTATGCAAATTAAATTTTCATGTCTAATTATATGCTCAAGGACCTCTGATATCTTATGTGGATAAGCTTGTCAGGTTCCTGTTTTTGAGGGAAATTTTCTAGTATTTCGTTGCTATGTAGTGTAAATATCTCTTTTAATTAAGTTCCAGTTCTTTTAATTAAAATGCCTCTTTTAATTAAGTTCCAGCATTCTTATTTTATTAAGACAATTTCTCAGAAACTACTTTAAATTTTTGCTAATACTTCATTGGTATCTGTGATGATAATCATATATTTCTCTTTTTCAGGTATTAAATCAACTAATTACATTATACCAGAATACCTAATATTGACTGATCTTTGCATTCTTCATAAAAATCCAATTATAGTGATGGCAGTTTTAATATAAACTAGCAATCTTTTGAAGGGCTTTTTTTTCCCCATTAATAGTAACGTTGACACTTGCCAGATTTGTTGTTATTGTGATCGTCTCTGGGTTTCGTACTCACTGTTACAAAGGAAGCTCAACATTTTCCTTCTTTTTGTGTGTCTTATGTGGTCTGGAGTAGTTTACATGGTAATATAATGATCTGTTTTCTCAAGATTTTGTGGGGCTCCCTTGTGGAAGCTGTGCCTGGTGGGTTTTGGGGGAGCAGGTCTTTGACAGCTGTTGCCGTCTCTGCTCTTATAACTAATCTTGTGAGAGGTGCTGCTAGTGCTCACTGACACCCAGCCCTTCCTTACCTCTGGGTGCATGGACAGCTGCATTTCTCTGTCTTCTTGAAGTGAGATGTGGCCAGAGAAATGTGGACAGAAGCCACTTGCACTGTTTCCTGTCAGAAGCATTTACCAGCAAGGTGCTGATGTCCCGTTGTCCTTCCCATGCGCTGGTGCTCATGCAAAAGCATGCAAGGTTAACAGTGTCTCTAGATGGTATGGCCTCCAGCAGCCTAGGTCCCTGAGGGACTCCGTCCCTGAGTGACAGAACCCCCAGCAGATTTCTGACAGGTCTGCAATACGAGTGGGAAATTTACAAACCTTCGCTGCTATAAACCCCTGCAAACCGAGGTTGGTTTGTTCAGGTAGCAGAATGCACTCCATCCTGACCGACCACCACACTCTGCTCACAGTTTCTTTATCTTTTGGGGAATTTCCCTAGAAAATTGTGTTTTATCTAGGGTCGCCAATTTGCTTACTTAGAATTGAGTGAAGTGGTGTCCTAGGGTTTTTCTACGTAAGTGGCTGCACTTACCCTCTGTGCCTTCTCCTTTCACATTCTTGAGTGGCATAGAAAAAGGAATATCCCCCACTTTTGATTTAAAAATGAAGCTGCTAGAATGATTTATTTGATCTGTCCATTTGCTTTCTAATTCTGAAATTTCTGCTTTTATCTTCGTTAAGTGGCTGCATTCTATTCTTGTTAATCTCATTCTTTAGAACAAATTAGACATTTAAAAGATTTGCTTTCCCTTGTCTTATATATTTATATATGTATTTAGTAGCTTAAGACTTAATTCCCTAAAATGTATATGTTACAAATATATCCAGATTTCTTCAGAGTTCTGTTATGAATTTCCAGTTACACTAAGATCAGAGAAGATCATTTATACCATATTCAGTTTTTAGAATATTTTTGAAGTTTCCTTTGGGAGCCAAGATATCATCAAGTTTTGTTTTTGTTCAAAAGTGCTTTGGAAGTAGACCAAAGTCCACTTCAAAAATAATTTACTCAGGAAGGAGGTGTTAGAATCACACACATATACCAATTTCATACTGTTTGAAGATGCCATTTCTCGCCTTATGGTGGAATGACTTTTGGCTTGGTAGAAAATCCTGAGATCCTTCTTCCTTTCCTTGAAGAAAATAAGTTAGTTCTTCCTTCTCTAACACTGTATCCAAAAATCCTGATCAAGCTGGAGAACTGGCTATATTACTAGGCAACATTTTCCATGATTGTTGAGCCGTCTCTAAACTAGAAGGGCTCTGAGTAGGGTGATGCTCAGTGAGAAGCACAAACGAGCACATCCCCAAATGCAGCATGACTCTTGAGACTGATTATGTCCCTCGTAGTGGCCTCTGCTCCAGCCATGTGCACTTGTCCCCTAAGCTGTTAGTTGAAGGACCAGGAAAGAGCTCCTTGACCACTGGTGACACAGCTGACATGTCCAAGCTGCTCTGTTGTGTTTCTTGTTCTGCATCTCTCTGTAAAGCTAGGTGGTGTGAAGGAGATCCCAATGGGTCTTACGAAGGTCAACACCAAGCCTTACCCCAAGACCATGCTTTAGAGTGGGTGTCGCAATACCAAAACATTTAGAAAGTGAGAAGGTTCCACCTGAATAAGGAGGCCAGTAAAGTCATCAGCAGTTAACATATATTTTGCAATAATTGAAAGAGCAATAAAAATTCCAGAAAGAGTGACCTATGCCCGTGGGGTTTGCCATTGGGAGTGGCATGTTAGACCAGTAGGATTGTCCAGCCAATGGTGCTGGAGAAAATAAGGAGTCGTCAGGACACAATGCAACTGGATCCTTACTCTGAATCTTATACCCACCAGGACCACATGTGGTTAAGTCGGGGGAAAGTTTCAAGAGATAAAGCTGTCTCCCCTAAAATGAATGTTCCTTCATCTGCTTTTCAGGAGGATGCTCTGCCCTGCATGCACCCAGGTGAGAACTTTCCTATTCAAAATGGGAACTATAGAGAACGTCTCCCTTCATGATTTTCCATTGTGAATCATGCTCCTGCTACTTGCACAGGTCACACAGTATCTTTCTGTGACACTCAGCCATGTCTGTGTTCATTACATTTGTGGATCAGGGTGCTGTCTCGTGGTGGCCCATGTGACAAGGTGCTATCTTGTGTAGGAGTCAAGATTTCTAAATTACTTTACTAATTCACATATTCAAGATTATTTATGGAGTACTTACAATGTATGAGTAAGTTCTTGTCAGACTTTGAAAGGTGTGAAAACATGCATAAAATGGAGTTTGTTTCCACAGGGGACATACTGTCTTTTGAAGAATATATGATACATACAGTATACAAAGGAGAGAGATAAACTGATGAAAAAGAAGCAGATGAAGTTCTAGGAGAACTTGTGAGAGAAAAAATTAAAGCTGAGGCAATATCGTTCTCTTGTTTATAACTTTTGAAAACGCTAAAGATGAGAAATTGAACATTTTTGCCAGATCAGAGGGGCCACCCTATAAAAAAGTACCCTGTGATTCTGTGTCCTGTCTCTTGTTGCCCACCTAAAAGACCACACCCTGAGAGGCTAGACTAAGAGCCATCAAATCACCTGAGCCAAGAACATCTCCCTGGCTTCTCCCACATTCTCCCTAGCCCGCCTCCTCTGTGTTCTCACTCTTTCCCTGGAGACTATCATGTAGTTAGTTTGCTTTTTCTCAGAGACGCTTCCAGTGCAAACCCTCAAGAGTCCACCCACACCAGCTCCCTCCCAGACATAGAGGAGCTGCAGCCAGACTATGTCAATGGTGAGTCTCCCCACTGGAAGGGGCCCCAGGGCTGCAGCAGGGAGGAAAGAGGAAATCAGGTAAAAAACATGATGAGGTCTGCACGCCCTGATGCCCTGAGTCCCAATCTCAATCAATAAATGCCCCTCAATCAATAAATGACCCTCATGTTGGGGTTGGGAGGACAGTCACAAAGCAGGAGTCTGGGACAGCACATATAAAGTTTGAACCCCATGTCCATGGAGGTCTTTGAACCAATGTCTTTTCCCTGCAGTGGGCCCTATAGATGTGGATATGGTTTATTCCCAGGTCTGGAGCATCCAGCCACCAGAAGACTCAGGTGAGAAACTATAAAATGGTTCTTATTAGATGCATCTTCCCAAGTAAGGGGCACCATGCACACAATTGAGCTTGCTTACGTCATTTGACCTTGATATGCAATCTGTGGATCCAATAAGGAGGAAGAGGTATTTGCAGGCAGGTTCTCAGGGAGGAGCTGAATTACAAAACAAAACAAAACAAAAACAGATGGTCAGTTGAGAACCGACAATTAGCGAGAATCTGGGATACAAGGCAAAGGAATAAAACAAATTAGGAAAGAGTGAGAATATCTGAAGTATGGTATATAAAGTCCAGTCTGAAGACACCATGGAAGGGGTCCCTGAACACATCAGCCTAATCTGGAGACTTGCGCTTTGATGTGTAGTCTTCCAAGAGTTGAGTCAGTAGTTCTTTAGAACTGCAGAGTCATGTCCTTCAAGCTACTGCTCCACTGCCCTTAAAGCTGCAACCTTCAGCCATGTCCTTTGCTCTGTACTCCTGGCTGCCTCTGTTGAAGCCAGAGACTGCTGGCAGCCTGGCAGGTGTCCCAGGAAAGGGTCAGCCAGCTGCTTTCCTCTGAACCATGGGTCCTCGGCCAGCCTTGCTTACAGTTGTACCGCAGCAGCCTACAGAGAGCCCATGACCCTGCCATTCTCCTTCCCTGCCTGGGACCAGCCCAGCAAACCTGAAAAGGCACAGTCCTGCCCACTGCACGCTTATCCTGCAGGCCCTCCAGGGGTTGATGTGTTGCCAAGGGCAGGAGGGAGATTGATTTCCATTCTGCCCACCTGAAATGAAGGGAGAAGGAAGCAGGCCCCATACCCTCAAGTGGTAGTGTGATTCAGGTCTCCTATCCCTCATCTCTGTGTTCCATTTCCCTCTATGTAGTGCATGAACACCTGTGGTTTTATCTGAAGGACATAAAGAGATAACAGGAGAATGAGCTTTGACAGAATATTGTCAATGATCTACAGAAATTGTATCAAAGAGAGGAAAGGTTTTGTTTAACAAGGGTTGGCAGAAGGCTTAGAGCTTGGGTGGTCTTCAAAGGACTGCAGAGTGGAGAATATTAAGGCATGGATTTTACAGAAGAACAGGAGAAGCTGGAAACCACACAATAAGCATTGCCATCCTGTGCCCTGGAGCATTGTCTGAGAATGAAGTCTAAGTAATATTTTTTTTTCTCCACAGCAAACACCAGAAGGATGATTCTGGAGAACAAGGTGAGCTGGACTCCTGGACAGTTCCTTCCTCATCTAGTCCCCCACCAGCCATAGTCCTTTTCTTCCTTCTCCTGTGCATCTCTTCTAGGACTCCCATGTCATCTACTCTTATGTGAAGGAGACATAACACTTGGAGAAACTGGGAGGCAGAACCCCAACAAAGATGGAACAGCACTAAGGGCTACAAAAAAAAACTTGATAAAAATGCCAAACTTCATGACATCTCACAGACAGAATGTGCTGCAAGTGCTGAGAAGGCCAGCTGGGTCATCGTTTCGGTTCTCATCATGTTCTCTCCCAATGTCTTCTTCCATTTAGTCAATATTTACAGAACTGCTACTGAGTCCCAGAAGCTGTGTGGGATGATTATCTTTGTTCCCTTCTCTCTTTTTTAAATTTTTAATTTAAATTTAATTTAGTTAACATATAGAGTCTTATTAGTTTCAGAGTTAGAGTGATTCATCAGCTGCATATAACACCCAGTGCTCATTACATCAAGTGGCCTCCTTAATGCCCATCCCCCAGTTACTCCATCCCCCCACCACCCTTCCTTCCAGCAACCCTCCATTTGTAACTAGAGTTAAGAATCTCTTATGGTTTGTCTCCCTCTCTGTTTTTATCTTATTTTATTTTTCCTTACTTTCCCCTATGTTCATCTATTTTGTTTCTTAAATTCCGCATATGAGTGAAATCATATGGTATTTGCTTCAAAGTTCAAAGAGTTGGGGAAGAACAAAGAGCACAAGACACAAGCCTTCATCTACATCTGCTCTGAGGTGATGTGAACAGAATCCATTTCTGGGATTCTCTTTGTCTTCCAAACTGGAAATTCATTGTCTTTTGTCTCCACAGACAGACATCTCAAGTTTTAAATAAATCCTCTCTTGCTCTTGTGAGAACTTTAGGGTTGAGTTTCTGTGAAGGAATAGCACCTTGAGCCGGCTCACCATATTTGTCCATTTTTGAATGCTTATTTTGTACATTGATTCACATTGATTTAAAAGTAACAAGGGTATTCATATCTTCTTGAAATGCTGAATATTTTACATCCATTGGTACAATTATGCAAGGAATAAGATCATAACCTCTGGGAACCCCTGTCTAGGGTGGGGTCCCAACCCCATCCCCCACTAATTGTGTAGTCTAGAACAAACTACTTAACCTCCATGTGCCTCAGTTTCTTCGCCTTTAAATGGGGAAAACCATTTGTTAAATATTCGTAATTCATATAGACCAGTGTCTGGCATTAAGTAGCACCAAATAAGTTTTCATTAAATAAAATATGCATAATTATCACTTAGCCTCAAACTTAGTACAAAAATGTTTAAAAAGTTGGGTAACGAGAATCTCAAAGTGACTATTAAATGCAACTATCAGATTTTTAATGCTTTGATTAATATCTTCTATAATCCACTCCCCTGCTAAAGATAGGTCCCCAATGGGAAGGACAGAGGTGACTGGGGCTTGGGTTTGGTCATTAATCCACAGAGAGATCATCTGGAATATTTTAGAAACTATACACAACAAATTTGATGTTTATCTGAAAAAAATAATTTAAAAAATTGTTATAATTCTGATGGCTAAGTAGCCAGTGGTCCCTCTCATCCATAGAGACAGACCGTCTAAGAGCTGACACGGAACGCTCCTCTTGTCCACACACTTCACATGCATGAGTATGACCCCAGTATTCTGCAGTCTGAGGGCTACCACCTGGACGTGACTGAAGTCACAAAACCCATGGGTTTTAATATATAAAATCCTGTATCTTCATTGTAGAAAATTTAGAAATACAGACAGTGAAAGAGACTATTAACTCACTCATACTTTCATCACTCTGATAATTGTTATTATTTCAATAGCCATCAGCCAGAGTAGTATTTTCCATGAATGTTCTCTCATGTTTATAAATATGTGATTTTAAAGGAAAAATAACTGTAACCTGGTTTTATTTCTTAAAAAATTTGGATGTTTTAATGCCATTAAATGTTCAAAGATCTTTGTAGTTTGCTTGGTATGTTTGGATACATAGTAACTTGTTTCATAAATTACTTATTTGGGGACCATTATCATACTGACAATTACCGTGATGAGCAGTGTTGGAGTGAACATCTTTGCTTCTAAGTCAATATTTTGGGGGAGTATTACAGTTTGGAGAGATTAAACGTATTACTTTATTCAGAGTCAGACAATAACTTGGCAGGATTTCTCCCGAGAAACCTGAGTAGTTGTGGAGAGTCCCTCAGTTTACTGTTACTGTCCCAACTAAGAAGTGAAGGAGAGAACAACAGTTTCCATCGCTCCTGCCTTCTACGTGAGCAAACAGATCAAACCCTGGAGGAGTCTCTTGCTTCCTTGCTTTCTTTTCATACAAAACATCCTGAAGAGCAGCTTCTAGCTCCCTCCTCCTGCGACTCTTGCAAGAACCCCCCGGGTCAGCTGCTGAGAGTCTCTCCCCCAAAGGCAGAGTGAGGAGGACTTCATGCTGCTGTAGGGGTGCTGGGTGCTGCAGGCATGTGGGGAGTGGGACAAGAAGAATGAGACAGGGAAGCAAGAGGATGGAGACCCAGCAGGAGGGCATCCCTGGGGCTCTCGTGGGGTCCAAACCTCTGGCCAATGCCTAGAAGCCGTCTGATCCCACAGCCAATCCAGTTTCTGGAGATCATCGGGAAGACCCTAGTTTCCAAGCGTGCATAGACATGGTACCTCTCAATTTCTATCAGGGAAAATGATGGCCCCTCTTTGTCATAAATTTCTGTTCTGTTTATTTGGGAAACTTTGTAAATGATGTAATTGGGATTTTTTTTCAGTACTAGACCCTCCTTTCTTCCTTTGTGGGTGTGGAGAAGGAGATGCCGAGCAGTGGGGAAGGTGCAGTCTGTGAGGAGACGTGGAGAGTAGGAGGTCGGAGAGGACAGGGAGGGGGAAGAGAGGCAGAGTGGATGGGGCAGAGGCCTGGGCATCACAGAGGAGCAGAGCCCGGGCCCTGGGCCCCGGGGCCCTGCACCTGCTGCTCTGGGCAATGAGCACCCAGGTAGTTTCCCCGCTGCTCCATCTTGTGGGTTCTGAGAAATGCTGTCCTTCTGGCCAGTTCAGGAAACACACGGACTCCGCCCTAGACTCTGAGGTTGAGGCCTGCTCCCCATGCAGGCCCCAGGCGGCTGCTGGCATATGACCTCTGTGGAGTGGACAGGGGCCAACCGGCTGTCTGAAGCTCTCTGGTTACTGACCCTTTCTCTCAGGGACTCATCACTGGTGCTCTCTGGCCTGGCTCTAGCTCACACATCTCTTTGTTTCACTAGCATTTGGGGTTTTTTCCCCCCATTAGAAACTTTCCATTTGTGGACAAGATGGCTTCAGGCTGTTCCACATAGTCTGCACCTTGGAAATCTATGAACAACAGGAAGGTGGTGCCTATCAAAACCTTACACGAACTGTCCCAAGTATGGGACACACAGATGCAAGGAAGCAGGAGCTGCTCGGAGAGGAAGAGGCAGATGGAGGATGGAGTGCTCTCTGGATGAGACCTTTGCTCCCAACATTGTTTGGAAGGGGTTCCCTGCTGGACCCTCCAGGGCCCTTGTCCCGCCAGCAGCGTCTGGGCTCCACAGGACCCCAGCCGTTGTGGGCCCCACCTTTAACAGCAGGTTGAGGTGAGCTGCTGGGCCCCTGAGAATTCCCATCTCCCACCTCCACCCACAGCGCAAGGGCTGTGCCCGTCACTGAGAGGGACAGAGATGTGCTTGGGACAGAACAGTGACCACGGCAGAAGCACAGAGACATGTGCCAGGGGTGGGTGAGCGGGGAAGGACACGGTGAGAGTTCTCCCCTCCACGCCACCTGAACACACCAAACCGTGCACAGCTTAAGAATAGCCAAGTCAAGACCATAAACACGGAAATTATAAAAGTCAGAATAAGTAACCGGCAGGTGGACACGTTCACACATGGATTAATACTGAGGAACCAGGGAGTAACCTGGAAGGTCAGAAAATCTCCCCCGGAAATACCAAAATGGGGTAGAGAAATGGAAAGTCAAAGGAAGGCAGTCTGGGTGCTGGCTGTGCAGGCGTCCCTGTGTGTCACGTCCGTGCTATAGGCAAAGGTAAAAGAGAAGGAGAGTCTGGGGGGAAATCACCCAGGATCTTACATGAGCAGAGAAAAGAAAGATCTCACATTGGAAGTGTCCTAATTTGCTGAGCTGAGTAGATCGTGAGATCGCAGTTCAGCAGATGAGTGTCAGAGACCAAGGGACAGTTCCGAAATATCAAGACAGTAAAACATTGTAAGTCGCAGCAATCAGATGGACTTCCGGCTTCCTACAATAACAATCAACATGAGACGTCAATGGAAAATAGCATTTTCAAAGTGGAAATTATAAAATTTCATACCTAGCAGCCCTTTCCTTTACCTCTGAGGATGAATATGATCTTCTCGGGTAAAACAGGCCTCAGTATTTTATACACACCATACGCCGTACGCCACACACACACGCCACACACACCACACACACCATACACACCACACACATGAACACACGCTCCACACACTAGACACACACCACACACACACAAACACAGAGACGCGCACAAACACACACACACCTGAAGACATCCTTAGAGGAAGTGCTCTATTGAGCCGAAAAATATACTCGGAGGTATGACAGGAGATATGGAAAGTAGGTTTGAGCAATTAAATAGTAAAATTTTGTTGTTTATTTATTAAAGTGCATTTATTAAATGCTTACTGTGTGCCAGGCCCTAGGAGTGTGAAGGTTACTAAAACAGTCTCTAACCTCAGGTCTAATGGGGAAGACAGAAGTTTTTAAAAATTATAAAACCCACAGGAGAAACAAACACGCCTGTCGTGTGTTTGTCCCCGTGACAGGGAAACAGATAGAAGAGATTTTATTCTGCATCCCAAACCAGGAATAAGCTTTCTCCCCTGATTCCAAGCACTTTCATTCCTCTCCTAAAAACACTTGTGTCAGGGAAGTTTCACCCGTGACAGGGAGGATGGACACAGGACAGTCAGGGATTCACCAACTGAACAAAGAAAGGGCAGGTATTTCGGGCAAGGCAAGTGCAAAGGAACTGGGGCCAGAAAGAGCCTTTCCAGTACAAACATTT